ATAAGTCGAACCTTTTCGTTGCAAAATGGTACTTCGAGCTATGGAAGTTTGACTGTAGTTATAAATTATAAGTGAAATATCGGTGACAAAAAAGTTAAAAGGCAAAGTACCAGTTAATAGCACTAAAATAAAAACGAAACTACAAATAGTGTGAAACAAATTTTTCAAAGTAAATCCATACATATTAGTTGTTTTTTAATATTAACCTATGGACTCCTTAATCACGATACGCACGATATTTATACTATCCAATCTCTAAATAAATAGGCCGCGAATATAGGCTATAATATTCTTATTTAAGAATCAATTAATGTTTAGTGTAGTTACCATGCTAAAAAAGTATTAAAACACAATTTTCTCTTAAACCGCTAAATTGATATCCATGATATTTATACTACATAACCTTCATATAAAGGCGCGGTGCATAATCTATAATAATTTTATTTACCTATAACATTTATATTTTTTAAAACTAATTTAAAAAAGTTGTGTATTATTTAACATTGGCCAGTTCAAAAATATTTAAATAAAATTTTTTCAATAAAACAAATTAAAAATTATTGTACGAAATTAAAATTAACCAACAGAAGAAACAAAAAAAACAAAAAATTCACAAATAAAAAATTTTGTTGTCTAAAATTTTGAAATAAAAAAATTAATAAATATATTTTTTCTTATTTATTTAATTAAGTAATTAATTTTTATTTTACGCTGCCAAACCAGAAATCAAATAAACTGCATCAAAAAATACGAATCATACCTAGAACACTATAAACATACCTAAGAACTTTCATGTTCCAAGAGCAACCGATCAAATGGAATTACACAAACAGATCTCTACAATAACAATCTTTAAGATATCTCACTAGAGATGAACTATCAAATAAATCTCACAAATCTGATAATAATGTTTAGAAACTCTATACGGTAATAAGAGTGATAAAATAACACATTTTACCCTTACAGGCAATATAACATTTACGATATTAAGAGGATACTTAATAACGTATTACATAAAATACCAGGCTTTGCAAGTGTGTTTCAGCAAAAGTGATAGCACTATAACTTGTCACCGATATTCTTTTAAAAGGACATACTATACTATCTCGTACTATATCAATTATTATCAATACTGAAATTTTGATATATTGTTCTTTCCTTGAAAACGCTTAAATTATATAGCAAAATATGACAATTTGTACTATGACTAAACAAATCTGGCCAACTTTACACCCATTTACAACTGTTCAACGAAATAAATTCTTGTAATTTGTAATTTCTTGTAATGAAAATTCCTTGTAACCGGCATTTGCGATCACTGACGATATTTGCGACTGATTTCAAGAGAAATGGGAAACGTATTATCAAAAAGTGCTACAATTAATGGTAAACTTATTTTCGAGGAATCAGAACACCATCAAAAACTACTATTAAAACTCTCAAACTTTTAAATGAATTTTCTTTCGTAATAAAAAAATGATATAGGTAGCAACAGGAATCTTAAAACAGGAGTACACATATCGAAAAGCGAAGGAGAATGATATAGATATATTTCAAAGATATCAACAATACCCATTTGATTTGAGTACAAATTTATTCAAACGTAATATTAGGAGTAGGTAGGTTAGAACGTTAGATCTTCATTATCTCCGACTCTTGATTGTTGGAATATTACAGTTATTATTTTCAACTGACAACCATCACCACCTTAATGATTGTGGCGACTATCTTAATAATATATATTACGAACTGTTACATATAATTAATTGATAACTATATCTTAAGTGATAACGTACTTAACGATAATATAAAACTAAATTCATTCTCAAACTGTGTTATTAATTACAAGCTAAAATTACTTTGAATAAATTACTATATATATTTAAATATTGAATAGATATAAATACGCTTTAGTGGACTAAATAATAAATTGAAGGGTTTTGCATTTATAAATGAATCCAGTAATGAATCCAGATATACCGCTATGTAAGTATTGCGAAAGTCATTCCTAATGTTAAACCTACCTCTCAAATGTCACAAATCGGGCTAAAACTTTATATTTCTAGGAATAACAAAATAAAATATGATGTATCTTAAAGACAGTGGCGTAACTACATTTTTTAGGCCTATAAGCAAATTCTAACTAAGGGGCCCCTACTAAATTCTTTTTATACCCTTTACACGAAAAAATTTAAACCGTCAATGCTGGTCGCTATGAACAACAAATGATAAATTTAAATTTGAACCATGCATTGATCGAGAATGGGCCAGAAGACACGGCAAGGTAATTCTGCTCCATGACAATGCACCTGCACACAAAACAAAACGGGTTCAGGATGCAATCAAAACACTTGGCTGGGAGCTGCTACCCCACCCGCCGTATTCACCAGACTTGGCTCCTTCCGACTACCATTTGTTTTCATCGATAGGACACGCATTGGCTGAGCAGCACTTTGATTCCTACGAGGAGGTCGAAAATTGGGTGTCTGGTTAGTTTGCTTTAAAAGACGAACAATTTTTTTGGTGTGGTATCCACAAATGGCCAGAAAGGTGGTCAAAATGTGTAGAAAGCAATGGCCAATACTTTGAATAAAATGTTTTTTACTTTCCTATTAAAAATTAGTGTTTTATTTTCACCAAAAAACGCTTATTTCATACCGATACACCTAATACTTTCTCAGTTAAAACTACTCTCTCAGCTTTTGAACTCTCCGAATGAAACTTTACACACATACTTTTCGGGAGCTGATGCTGTTCACCATTTGATTGAAATTTGACGCCTATTTCTTATAGCTGCGATATAAACTTAACAATCAGATATGAGATTTCTCCGTTTTTAATAAAGATATTCGAATGGAATTTGGTATATACTGTACTGATATTTGCATAAGACAACGTACAAAATTAGTTTCAAATGGGTTTAAATCTAGATATATGTTAGCTTCCACATAAACTCTCGATTAAGACACATATTTTTCTTAGAAAAACTTTTTTATTTTATAAATAAGTTTAACATTTTATTTGAAGTACATACATATTATGTACATTAAATTTAAAAATTAAGTATCTTTTATAAAATGCAATATGGAGCAGGTGCAATATGGAGTTATTCCAATAAAAAAACGTTTCGTCCTACTTTTGAGAATTTATTAAAAATAAATACAATGAATATATAAATTCATAATGGGGCCCCCTAAATTCAGGGGCCCGAAAGCGTTGCTTCCAGTCGCTTCCCTGTAGTTACGCCACTGCTTAAAGAGAAATCATATATTTAAAATTCTCCATAATACTAAGAACCACCCTAATTTACACATCTCTAGCATAGACATGTAGAGTAATAATGATATAACAAGTAATTCAGACTATAATAATTTTGACATTTAATGCGTTTTAGTTTTAGGTATCTAAATTTGCACTTTAAAAACGATTCTATTCCGATACAAATAGTCAAATAGAGTAGTCGCAAAAACTTTAAGTACACTCTTTTAAATAAATAAAATTGTTCTATTTTATACTTATGACCTATACGTTAAATACATCATCAATTATATTCGCCTGATAAACACAATATAATCAAACTCATATAGATAAAGAATTATAAATTACACATTTTTTAATATATATATTTATCAATATATAACAATGCGAACTATTGTTTACATATCAGTTTTACTCAAGTACATTATCTAACTAGTTTTAGTTTTCTATTATATTTTGTAGTTTATTAAAAATGCTAAAGAAATAATTAAAAATTTTAATAATATTCTTTTTATTCCAAGTTTTAAAATTTTTATCTTAAATCTATCTAATTTTAACATTGAAAATGTTTATATAGAGGTTTTGTATAATTTTTTTATTATTACATTTTTTATTTTTATTCTGTGCTTTTAGTGCTGTTGGCTAGCATGCTCGGAAAATGAATAATAATATAATACAAATAGCACTGCAATATAATTGACAGGGCTTTTAAACACGAGTCAGACTTGGAATATATAGAAAAAATAGTGCTAAACGAATCATGACAATAAAGGCCGCAACGTAGTAGACTTACTGACAACTGAAACCGATACAAGTAATCTATCTATCTAAGTAATCTATATGATAGGAATCTATCATATGCACTGCATAAGAGCAAATAAAGTAAGAAGTATTTATACTCATAAATGCAAAGACAACAATAAAAGAAAGCGACAGTTAAAGTGCCAATTTACAGCACTAAAAAACGCAAACGAAGCTGAAATTAATGTATTATCTTTTTACAAAAAATTTCTCAGGGCAAATCTATACATCTATATATACATAAATTTAGTTCTTTTTAATTCATAACCAAAGGACTCCCGAACCGCCGATTCGATCCACATGATATTTATGTTATCCAAATTCTATATAATAAAGGCTAACGTTCCTATTTAAGAATCATATTTTTTAGAGTGGTCATCATACAAAACAAAATATTTAAACATAATATTTTCTTTAACCGCTGAATTGTTATCCATGATATTCCACATAAAATAATCACCACATAAAGGCGGGAAATATATCGTACATTTTCATTTACGGTTCATATTTAGTTATTCTAATATATAAAAAAATATTTTAAAGCAAATCAACTTTTATCGGGGTTGTGACTTCGTGGATAAAAACTATATACTATATTCCACCTCATGTGTCAGTGTCCATTATTGGCTAAGAGAAGTTTTAAAATCGTTTGGGCTCCTATTCTTACCGACTTGACAGAGCTATCATCCTTTAACATTAGGGACTGGACGAGTTCCGATAGGAAATTTGTGCTTGTACGTCTACCTCTAATCTGTGTTGAACAATGCTAATCAGTGATATCATAACGTAGCAATATTTGGGCTTTGGGAACAAGTTCGCCTCTCCAACCCAACCTAATCTTATGCAGTTGCTTCCAAATGACTACATTTGGGGTACTTTTAATACATATTTATTATATTATATACAATAGATGTTTTTTAGAAATTTAAAATTATACATACCAGCAAATCGGACGGATTTTCAATGTTAATATTAAAAAAATTTGAGCATCAGCCATATAACATCAAATAAATATTTAACATTGATTTATGCGGTAATTTTAAGTTAGCTGATTTATTACAGACGCTTATTTTTGTTTCCATCATCATGTTTACGATATTATTTTTAGAATTTCCACAAATTATGTGAGCTTTGTGTTTATTTATAAATAAATCTCATTGCAATATTATCATTAGTTATTATTTTCTCTGCTTTAAATTACAGTTTATTACCGTATATAGATATAAATATAGATTCACTACACATTTTAAAGTTATTTAATTCAAAGAAATTGCCATTAAATTCTTAAATTCATATAGTCTATATGTCTGGTGTGTACTATTGTTGTTGTAGTGTTGTTATCTAAATGAGTCGCTACTATGTTTAACTTTACAGTTGACTGTGCAGAGCATCAGTATAAGCGAGAACACGCGTCGTCGCCCTGTTATTTCATTTATGCTTTATGTATTCAACACTATGCATTTGCAGTGTGAATACAACACCAACAATCGCCAAAAACAACTACAGTGTGCATAAGGTTTAATTTGATTTTTTCTTTTGTTTTTCTGTCTTTACTACCCACAGCGGACACTTAAAAAACAACAATACGTAAAAGCAACAAACGTTAACGTCGACGTTGTTTTTTAGTTGTTGCTGCTCTTGCGCGAGTAATTCCGTTCATACCTTGCTTTTGTTTTTTTTTTAGTTAAATAAATTCTTAATGGTGTAGTTTTCCTTTTTACTCTTCACATACTGTGATTTTTATTTTGCTTTGATTTCGTTTCTCTTCATAAAAATTAACAACATTTTAGTTTTTAAAATTAAAATAATAAATAAAACTTTTATTCATTTATATTATTATAACAAATTATATATTTTGTTTTTTGTTGCATACAACTTTAATGCATTTTTTACACTTCTACTTAGAATTGATTAGGATTCTTTTCCGACACGAAACAACATCACCATACACTTCATTCGAGAGCGAAAAACCAATTGATACCGATATGTAAAATTTGACAGCACTTTATGTATTTGGAAAGAAGAAAATCTGGTTTTTGTATATTAAAAGCAGGGTTGTATAACAACTCAATTTTAAATAAACAAAATAAGAATATGCGGTACGCAATTAAAGAATTTTCGTTTATAATAAGAAATATATATAATATAATAAGTTATGGCCGTGTGCGAGTTCGAGTAAATTGATAATAAATTGAGGGAAATAGAATTTCGAGTAGGGTAAATTAAATAAAAATTAGGTCTATTAGGTGTTAGCATTATAATAATTTTATAAAATTTTGAATAAATAAATAAATAAATTTTGAAAACTTTGAACCAAAAATAATAAATAAATGCAATAAATAAATAAATAAATATTTACATAAGTGCAGTGCTAAAATCGCTAGTAAATTTCAATTTACTTTACCTCAATTTACTCAAACTCGCACACGGCCTATATAGATTATAATTATAATTATATAGAAATTTATAATAAGATGTATTGCATTGAACAAATTGGTTCATTATTTTCAACTACTATTATAAAGAAAAGTGAATAAAAAGAATTTCAATTATTTTACACTAATTTTAATTTAATTTTTAATACTTCGACTTTAATCTAAAGTCGAAATTCTGTTTAATTTTTATTTATAGCTGAAATAAATTAACAAATTAGTCCAATGCAACACAATTATTAAAAATTTTGATCATAAAATAATAAATATTTTGCTTTAAGTATTAACTAATGATTGAATACGTTAATCTAGTTATTGATAGATATTTTAAATTGTATATTTAAGCCGAGGTTAGTATTTATCAATAATTAAAACAACGGGTTTTAAAAAGAAACTCACTTAAACACTTAACACCGAGTTGTTATTTAAATCCCAAAACTAATGGATTAATTAAGTTAGCTTAAATCGCGTTTGTAAAATCCAAAACTTTTGGCTTTTTTGAATAAGAGAATGTAGAGAAATTTTTAATGGCTATTCCAAGGCTCGATCTAGGTTTATTGGCTTATTGTTCTAAAATCAGTGATAGCTTACTGTAATTTAGTTTTTATTCTAGTAAATGTGCGTTTAAAATAATATTCTGCAAATAGCAAATTTTTCAAATATTATGCAAGATACTTAATAAATTATTTATCTATGAATTTTCACTCAACTAAAAAATATTCTTAATAGAATATATAAATATAAATAATATAGCAATTTTTATAGCGATGTAATATTATGTTGGTCCCATATTTCAAATTTTTTGTTGTTCCAATATAAATTGAGTAATCGGGTAAATAATCGTTATTTTTTCATAAATTAGCAAATAAAAATAGTGATCAGCTGTTGAACCGTACAGAAGTTTTTAGTTTTTTCTATTTGCAGATCTTTTGATGATTTTTACAAATTATATTCCATTGGTACGTCTATTTGGTAATAGCATTGCCAATGCTGCACCAATATGTAAAGGGCAACAACAACAACGAAAATTATTTGCTATTGTACGTATAGCATTCAACTCAGTTGATGTAAGCAGATTGCAAGAGGTTGGTCCGAACAGATTATGTGCAGAATGGATTGTAAAAAATGGAGGTGCCGTACGATTTTTAGAGGATCCAAATAAATTATATAATGACTACAATTCCTTGCCACCTGAATCGCAGAAGTATAGGCTCAAGGTTGCAGATGCTACAGACTCATCAATTATGAATATCGGACTAGATCATTTTAAAGGCTGCAATCACGTTGATACTGTTATCTTACATAATTGTACACATTTGGAAGAGGATGGTCTTAAAGGGTTAGTACATATAGTTAACAGCCTAGTACGATTACAGGTTTCTGGTTGCTATAATATAAATGATGAGGGACTTAAAGAAATTGCCAATTTGAAAAATTTAAAACAACTGATAATATTTAATATGACAGCTGTTAAGAGTTTTGCTGCTACAGTAAGCTACATACAGGGTCAGTTGCCAAACTGCGAAATTGATGCTAAGAGATTCAAGCGTTGAATATTTTCAGAAATATTTTGTATTAACTTTATGTCGAACTATACATACTTGTTATTGAATCATGAAAATATAATTTAAAATTTTTTCTGTAATTTCGTGTTTTTAAGATGTGAAAGAATTACCCAACAGTTAGCCAATTGCGGGAAGAGCACTTGGAAAAAATAGTCAAGTGCATCGCTCTGCTATCAGATAACGCATCTTACTACGCTAATATGTTATTGAAAGTATCCGCTACATATTCGTAATGCTTGAACCGCTTAAAAAGTACTTCAAATCGTCAATTTCAATGTGCATTACAGAGAATGTGCATCAAATGTGGTGATTTGAAATGTATTCGAAATGTATAACGCTGTACACATAGCGAAACGGAACGGTTCATATGTTTAGCAATAAAGCACCAAAGCGCTACAAAGCCCATCTTGACAATTAGAATGATCCGTTTTATTAGTGTTCCATAAAATATTGCAGTGCAAATTGTATAAATAAGTTCACAGCTTTATGGTAAGAAACTTTTTCATATTTTAATAAATGTTACAGCAACATTTTAAATATCTTGTACTTATTTGGTTCGTTATCTCGGTGACAATATTTAAGTATTTAGTTACATATATATGTATATAACATGCATTTATTACTATAAGTTACGATGAAGCCAAAATATAAGGTCGTATGTCTTCAACATCTAATAACTGCTCTGGAGCAACACGTTCCCCACACATTGGACATTCATTTGTTTCAGAGAGGATACTGTAAAGAGGTAATAAATAGTATTATTTAGAAGAATTATATTAATATTTTATAATCATACTTTTCCATTTCAGCCCGAAAGCATAGAAAATCACATTCAGGACACGACGTCATTTGCTTTTTAATGATATGTTGCCCAGTGGCTATACAAATCGGTAGAGTTGTTTTGCAAACGTGGCATGTAACTTCCATGTTAGGCAAATTTGTATCACATATAGGACATTCCATTGCTTCTTTTTCAATTTCATCTATTAAATTTTTAATACCTTTTGGTGCTTTACGAACAATTGACTCTATTTTTTTAGAATAACGCGGATCTAATTGATTACGATAGTCTGGACGCATTAACATTGAAGCATAAGTAAAAGCAGACTTTTTAAGACCAGAACGATGACACTCAATAACAGTTGACGTGAGTATAGGAATAATATCTGCAAAAATCAAAATTTGTATAAAATCGTATTATAAAAAAATTTAATAATATATATAATATATAATTGCATTAATTAAAAAGTGATTTTACTTACTGCTACTTATATAGATTTTACTTTATATCATTATGTACAACAACACTAACTTACGTTCTGGAAACTGTGATATGTTTTCCGCCACTTGTACTAATAATTTAGCAGCAAGCAAATGATTACCTAGTTTAACATGTGTACGTACTAGCGTATAGCGATGCAAAAGAATAAGATTATGTCGCATTTCGGCGGTTACAAAAAGATTATTTCGACGTAATTCTTGATACATAGAAAACAGTAAATCTCGTGCTGATTTATAATTTCCAGCTAATTGCTCCTGATTGGCTATTATAACCGCTGTTTTGGCAGCATCTTTATAATGTTTGCGTGCCATATACAAACGAAATAAATAACGTGGATCTTTTGGCGAACCATCCACTTCTCCAAGTAAAAACTCAATTAATTGTGTTGCCAATTGTTCATTATTCGATGTTGCTACACAATCGATAGCTAATGAAAGTGCCTGAGATTCTTCATTACTAAATGCGGAAGCTTTCAACAGAAACCGTAAAGCCTTCGTAAACTCTCGCGCTAAAAAGTAATATTTTCCAGCCAGTAATGTGTACTTTTCATTTTCAAAATAATGCGCCAATACCAGATAATCACTTGACTTTGCATTCTCATAACGCTCCAAGAGTTCACCATGCTGTTTCAATTTATTATGTCGCTGTGCCAGCGTAAATGACTCTTCTATACAACCACAAATTACTAAAAACTGTAAAGCCTGTTCAATATCTCCAATTTTTTGATAAAATCTCGCTAACATCTTTGAAGATTCCATTGAACGTGACTCTAGCACTATTTCTGAGGCAGCATGTGGATCACAAAGATGATCTAAATATAAACGTACACAGGCATCAAGATCACCGGCTATACGATAACTATTTATTGCTTCTTCGAATTGACCATCAGATTCTTTGGCTTTAGCATAAAGTGCATGCAATTTTGTACTTTTTACGTTAGGTAATATTTGGTTTGCTTTATTCCACATTTTCAGATTAATGTAATAACTGCATGCCTCATCATAGTAGCCACCACGCTCATAAAGTCCAGCAGCTTCAGTAAAATGACCAACAGTTGCTAGCAGCTCGGCACAATCATAGAGAAGTTGTTTGTCGTCTAACTCCACCGCATATTGTATCTGTTATAATTTATAAATTAAATATATAATCAAAACAAATAACAATACTTACTCCTCTTCTAAAATCTCCCGCTCTTATTGAAGTTCTTGCTATACCTATCTTACATAAACGTACATGCTCTGCATATTCTGGTGATGAATTCATTACTTCACCATCGTAAGTATTTATGAGATCTTCCTTATAGCCTTTTTCATAATGATATAATGCATCCGCATAGTTTCCACTAATGGTAAAATTTTGAGAACAGAACATTAGTAAGCTATGACACAATGCTGGACTACTAAAAGTAATCTTACGTGAATTCAAGTTGCTGAGCATATTCTCTTGCTATATATGGTACCTCGTCAGGTTCAAATTTATGAGCCAATAATAAAGCTTGTTCCCATTGTAGAAGATCTCTACATATTTCTAATGCATCTTTGGTATAAGCGCCTTTTAAGAAATTATCCTTGGCGTCTTCATATTTCTTTAAGAGTAAACAGCAAAAACCAGTGAGCAGGTAAATGTCTTCAATGTATCGTATATTTTCTAAAGCTGATGCAAAAGCAGCATCCTCAATTTGACGATATGCGCGTAAAGCTTAAACCATTTATAGTTTATATAAAATTGAATAAAAAATTGATTGCATTTATTTTACCTATATCCGGTTCCAAGTCAGCTATAGCTTGTTCACCCAATTCTCGCCACATAGCTCTTAAATTTGTTTTTTCGCAAATTTTATAAGCTTCTGAGTATTTTCTTAGTTGTAGTAGATTTTTAAGATTATTGCTTGGACTAATACCGGGTATTACTATATGCGTACTCAAAGTTTGTGTAGCATACTGACCACCTTCAATATGTAAAGCCATTTCACCGTCACACAACATTAAAGGTATTTGTGACGCATTTAACTTAGTTTCGCCTACTTTTACAGTATGTTTACCTTTATAAAATAAATTAAATATTACATATATATTTATTTATTTTTCACTATGTTCACATTGAGTATTTAATTCGGTAGAGCTAACTAATAAGAACTAACTAACTTACCATAGACAGAATACCGCACAAACACATTTGTACTGACCGTTTTCCCATCAAAGGTTATGAACAAATTTGGTTGTGTTAAATCCCAAAGACAGGTTTCACATTTCTTATCAAACTCCGCTATCATTATAGCTTCTTCGATTGCCTTAAAAGTTAATTATATTAAAAAGGTTTTGTCACTGTATTATCCTGATCAATGATAAATTAATGAGCCGTGAATAACGATATACTACTATTTATTTACAGTTAGAACGGTACTTCAGACCAATCAGATGTATTCTAAACTATTCTCACCGGTAGGAAAATGAAGCCCTGTCCATGATCGTCAACAAATATTATTTTAGTGCCTTCGGCATCAGTAAACATTTGTTTAATACCCATATTATGTCGGTACTTGGTGCAGATATCCCATTTTTCTATTGAAAAATATACAAGTAGACCAATCTACAAAGTAAACAAATTTAAAATAATGAATTCATAATATATCTGTACTTCTCCCATACGTCGGTGGCAAATATTAAAAATTCTTGCGTCAGACAAAAGCATGTTATAACAGCATCATTTAATGTGGGCATAGATGTTGGAAATGTTTGCATTAATTTATCCTTCACATTTGGATTGTCAGGAACTATAGCCTGTAGCACTAAATGTGGTGAACATAGGGCAGCACAATAGTCAGCATTGAGTTGAAGTTGATTTATTTGCGTTGAGAAGTCACGTTCACTTAACGGTTGAGGTTGTTCCCCTAAACTTTTACCAAGATCATAAAACCAAACATGGGTATCAATACCAGCCGCAAAATGATATGGACCAATAGCAATGAATGTCGGTTCAGTTTCGAGACTTTGACGAAATGGTATAGGCTTCGACTGTATAAAGATATTATAGTATTTTTAAAATATACAAATTACTATTATTTACCTTTTCTGGAGAGTAAACATATATTGAAACTTCAGCCAAACTACTAAGTATGGCAATTCTTGGTGGTGAAACAGCGTACATTGCTTGCAACTTAGTTACATAAGTGTAAACAGTGCCGTTGTTGGTAGTCACCGCCAATAATTGCCCATCACTGGACCAATCAATCATTTGTACGCCTGCACGATCTGGTACAGTTATAATTTTTTCGGTCTCTTGTAAATTTGTTATTGAGTGTATTTTAATGCTGTATAAAAAAATAAAAGAAATTATTATTAATTAAAATTATTTAAAAAAAGAAAGTGTTATACTACATGTCATCGCCACAGGAAGCTACTATATCCAATACTGGACAATAAGCCAAACCTGTTAGATTATCTTTATGGTTTTTAACCTGCCACAATTCTTGTCCGACATCTTTGGGATGTGTTGATATAGCTACTACGTGACCATTTGAAAATCCCAATAATATATAGCCATCTCCAAACCATTTGTGTTGCAATAGTGAGCCATATCGATTTTGAAAGCCCAATTCAGTTGGTGAATCAGGTTCAGGCAAGTAGTATAAAAATAATGTACGCTTGCCAACAATCATACTAATGGCATTTTCACCAGATATGCGATCATCATTCGCCATTTCAGAGAAATACATATCTGTGGGAACGTCTCGTAATGGTACAATACGCATAGAATCGCCTTCTTCATTACTTAGCGAAAAGCTTTTGTCGTCTGAACCAAGCGCAAGTAAGTTTTGTGCTGACCATGCACCACATGTAATACGCTTCGAATGTTTACCCAGCACTGGTATACGTTTACCGCTTCGATGATTATATATTGCCACATTACCTTTTGCTGTGCCCACAGCTAATATTTGTTGTTGTTTAGACCATACAATGCAGCTTAACGTATCACGCAATCCAGACTCAACAGTGGTTTTAAGTTGTGTGCTGGCATCCCATAATGTTATAACAGGCGAACTAATCGTTATGATACCCAACAAATCACCTTCGTTATCCCATGCGAAACCGGAACATAAACTAGTTAGTTGCATAAATAAGCATTTAATAAAATCACAATATATTAAAAGTCATCAGTTATTTACCCCGGTAAAGTAATTCGTTCAATTAGTTGACCTTGTCTGTTGAAAATTGCCACTGTGCCATCTGAGCCCGTCGTTGCTAACAAAGAACAAGAAAGTCCCTTTTGCCATATAAAATACACATCACCTGGTCCATGTGGATCTTCATATTTGTATAAAACTTTATCAAATGACATTTTAATTATTATTAAATTTAAAAACTTTTGTTTTTTATTAATTAAAGCAACATCAACTTAAGTCGGTCATTGTCCTGTAAGTGAAAAAATTTTATACGTTTTGTTTTGTTATGTTTCTTTGTTGATACTTTCGTTGCTATTAGCAACAAGTTGGATGAAAACAAATGCGACAACTACAGTGGGAAAAATTGCATTCTAGTTTTTTAAAACATATGATTGTTATACCAATCGGCGATGTATTGTAGAAGATTTATACTTCAGCTTTTCTTATGCGAATCAGCAATTTTCGGTTTATATATATATAAAATAGAAATGTCACGTATTTTACAGAGAAATCTATACATATATATATAGTCCTTTTCATTGGTTTTTGTTTTTAAATCCAATTCAATCATGCGTCATTTTTATTTGAATTCTGTTTTAATTAAATAAATAAATAAAAATTTTAAATAAATACTAAATATAGTAAAATTGATTTGTATCTTCAATATTGTTCAGTGTTGGAAGTATGCTTTCAATGACTCTAATATTTCAAAATTTCTATAATAGTTAATATAATAATAATATGCATCAGCTGTCTTGAAAGACTGAAAATCCTTAACCAAAATAATCAAATATGGTTACTATGGGATCCAAATCGCTTTGTAATTTAAAAAAATTATAGACAAACTTATTTGGAAACTATCAGCCTCGCTGCTTGAAGGTCAGGAAATATTTTGTTATTTAGAAGACTATATTTTGTTTTCACTCTTTCAGAAAGAAGAGAAGAAACAACAAAAGCTGGAATAATCTTCCAGGGCTATCAAAACCAAATTTTTTTAATGATTTTTACCTAAAACAATTAACTTAAGTAAAAAGAATTAAAGAGTTTTTACAGAAATAGTGAGTAGTGAGTTTTTAGTTTTAGGGGAAGTACAGTACTGATGCATAAACAAAAGAAATACATAAGAATTATAATTACTGCATTAAAATAAATTTTTTATATCTAGATAACGGTTTTATTTTTAGTTTTTATATTAGTTATTGTAAAGGACAATAAAAAATATAAGAAAATTCTTTTGAATAAATTTGACATTCTAATTTATAACTTAACTTCACATTTAAATAGTTTTATAAATCAATATTGCTTTGATACCGCTGGACAAACATATGTCTAGTTTCCACTTGAAGTCTATGAGAATTAAAATTTACGCATTTAAATAAATTTGTTGTATTTAGATAAAGGCAAAAATTATGATTTTATTTTTTATTATAGGCATAAAGAAAACTAACAACCAAAAATATAAAAAATAATTCTACTAAATACATTTGATATTGTTATTTTCAACGTATCGCAACTTTATATTAAAATAATTTATTAAACAACTTTGCTACGGCTTGACTTATACACACCAAGTGAAATGAAGTACATGAGAATTAAAACTTTTGTATGTACCATATATACATGAAATCACTTTTAATTTTGTGAAAATTACAATTTCGTTTTATATGATAGAATTGTATCAATTAAACAATTGTCTTATGTGTATAAAATTTATATTTTTAAATATAATAAACTCAAAGATATAAAAATTTCTTGAATTTGTAATTAGAGGGTACTAGAAAGAGGGAGGAAAAATTATGCACAACTGTATCTAAATTTGCATTAAAGCAAATCTAAAAATAAATAATGTTTTGTTATAATTGAATTTCAATTTACATAGTTCAAGAGACTGCCTTATACATTTTAGGTAGAGTATAATTTAAAAAATACTGAATTGTAAAAGTTATTTGCATATATACGGATCTTATTAAATATGCCATATAATAATAATCAGTAATCACAATAATCAATAAATTTGTATTTTTACGTGAAAAAAGAATGAGATAGTTTGCATTGAATAATAATTACAAAAAATGATGACGGGACAGAAGATAAATAAATGTACGAAAAATTAACTACAAAAAAAAATTTTTATATCGGTGAGATAACTGAGATATGTTTTGCTATTACAGAAAATATTTCAAAAAATACCACTTTTAATCAAAATTTTCGAAAATATTTCAATTAATTTTATAAATCAAATCAAAGTTGAGTAGACAAAATCTTGATACATAGTTTTAGCTATTCGGTTTATAGATATTTTCGAATTTTCGAATATATTTCAATTAATTTTATAAATCAAATCAAAGTTGAGTAGACTAAATCTTGATACATAGTTTTAGCTATTCGGTTTATAGATATTAAAGCGTTTATTACTTAACGTTCTTTAGGTAGATGTCTCTTTGGCAAACTGCATCTTAACTTGCATCCACTCCAAAGTGAACGAACGAATATTTGCAGGTAATCGTACCTGCAAAGTTCGTTCGTTCGCAAACGTTCGCTTTGGGGTGATGTACCATAATACTGAAAATGCTTATTTATTTTATAAGAGGTATGTTATGACTGCTGTCACGTTGCGTAATCGTTTTTATTTTCAATGTAAAATGAAAATTTGACACCGACAGTTCATTTATTTTTAAATTGAAAACAACAACAATTGCGTGACGTAAATTTACTCAGAACATGCCTCTAAGTGAAATTAAATCATATAAAAATATTTAAAGAATGACTGTCTTAGTAATAAAATTTTTAATAAACATGTTATTTAAGCTAAATTTTTTACTAAATTGAAATCAATTTATAATCTACTTTCGATGTTCATGTAAAATATTCAAGCATCAATCATCAAACATGCAGACAGACTTTTAGGTGTGTTTACTTGTATTTAAAACGTCAAATTATCGTTGAATGCTGTTCTCTCTGTTTCTTCATATTTTATAGCACATTATAGCAACATTGTTTTTGTTGTCATTTTCAATTGACTTTCTTGATGTGTTGAAAATCAGCAAGCAAAAATTGTTTTTTTGTTGATATATAAAAATAATTGACTTAAGTTCTATATTTATATTGTTTACCACTAAATTGAGCTGTAGGATGTCAGACGATGTTTTACCAGATGAATTTGACTTGGTAGTTATAGGCACGGGTAAGTTTTGTTATTTGAAAAAATTGTTTTTTTTTTGTATTGAATGAGTCATATTTCATAAGGCTTCCCTGAGTCCTGTATAGCAGCAGCCGCCAGTCGTATTGGCAAAACCGTTTTACATATTGATCCAAATGAGTTTTATGGTGGTTGTTGGGCTTCATTCTCGTTGGAAGGTTTAGTTAAATTTTTAAATGAACCAAACAGTGGAATGATACGTAACACCAGCTTTAATTGGAATATTCCCTATAAAGATACAAGTGGAACCGAAGCCGGAGTTAACTTACCATTTGATCAGTGGACAGCTGAAAAATTAATAGCAGAATCAAGACGGTTTAATATTGATTTGATTCCAAAAATAATATATTCCTCTGGTGCTCTCGTGCAATTGTTGGTTTCATCGAATATTTGCCGTTATGCGGAATTTCGTGCAATTGATCGTGTATGTACGATTTTTCATGACAATATATTAAATGTACCTTGCTCTCGCAGTGATGTCTTTAATACGAAGGATTTAAGTATTGTAGAAAAACGCTTACTTATGAAATTTCTTAATCTATGCTTAACATTTGGTGAAAACAAATGTGAAGAGGACGCTGCAGAGTATCGAGGAAAAACATTCCGCGAATACTTAAACAATCAAAAAGTCACTGAAAAAATAAGCACTTGTGTTATGCAGGCCATAGCCATGTGCACCGATAATACACCATTCGAGGAAGGCATGGAACAAACACTTAAATTTATAAAAAGTTTGGGACGGTATGGTAATACACCATTTTTATATCCTATGTATGGCTGTGGAGAGCTACCACAATGTTTTTGTCGCCTTTGTGCTGTATTTGGTGGCATATATTGTTTAAATAAAAGCGTCACTGATATCAAAGTTAATGCCGATACTAATACAGCAGATTTAATAATCGACGGTAAACTTATACGTTCCAAGCATGTGGTTTGTTCACACGGACATATTACTGATAGCTTACGTGAAAATAACATTGGCATATATGGCTTAGGAAATTTAGTGAATTGCTTATCACGTGGTGTTTACTTAACAGAAAAGCCATTGGGTAGTGAAGAATTAAATGCAGGTGGTGGTGGTGTTAATGTGATGCGTTTAGTAGATGGACTTCGAGAAGCAATGCTTATACAACTTTCAACCTTTTCCGGCACTTGTCTTAAAGGAGTCTGTAAGTTATTGTCATTATATTCTATTCTTTTCTATTTTAATAACATTTATAAAAAATTTTATGCAGATATTATGCATTTAACCACTCCTGCTATTAGTGACAAACCTGAAGAAGACTTATTGCCGTTCACAAATCAAATATTTAGTAAACAAAATGCTACTTCTATTTTGTGTTCAGCCTACTTTACTGTAACTGCATGCGAACGGTCACAAAATATGGCACCTGTTGATACAGCGACCCCAATTTATTGTACTGCTGCTCCAGTTTATGAAGTCGATTATGACTCTACAATTGATAATGCACGTGACATATTTAAACGTATGTATGAAGTTGTTGAGTTCTTACCGCGTGCACCGGATCCAGATGAAATTATTGTTGAGGGTGAAGATCCACATGCTATTATCGAAAACTCACTGCCTGAAGATTTACGTGAACAATTGCGTTTACTTGAAGATGAAGCAGAAGATATGGATACGGAAGATGCTACCAAAATGGTGACAGACTAGACATACTAAAATTACTTATTAAAAATTACAATTTTTCGGCCTTATACCAAATTATTACTATAATATATTTCATTTATAAAGTCTATAATATTTAATTTTAACAATTATTTTTTTTAATTTTGTTTCTACATTTTTATATTGTAATTTTATGTTGACTGCTAAAAGTAAAAAAAATTATAATGAATGAATTCATTGCGAGACGAACTTAGCTTACAAAAAAGTGCATAAATCGTTCTCTTTTTTAAGTGCTTTGATCATGTTTAGTATACATTCCCTTAAATAGAATGTTTTTTATATATATTAGTTATATATATAATAAGTTATATAATAAGTTATATATATTATAGTTATATATATATATTATACAAACATCAATTCTGCACGAAACCATAACTAAACAAAATACTACTGTACAACTTAATTTATTATTTTATATTAATATAATATAATGTAAAATTTTTCAATTGAATGTTACTATAGTCTACTATAGCTTTTATTTATTATGTTACTACACAATAGATTATATTTTTTGGTAAGGTTTTTTTTTGTTTTTTTTATTCAATTATTATTTATTATTTTATTTTGTCATCACGAAATAGGGCGTAGAACAAGAAAACAAGAAAATCTGTTCTATTGCTTCTGATTATTTTAATTTTCAATAACTAAATTAATTGAGTATTATAAAATGTGTCTTAAAGAAATAAAATTTTTATCACTTAAACGATACTTTTACTTCAGAAAGCAGATTTAATTCGTCTATAATGATATATATGTCTTATATAAAAGCACACATTTTTTAATAAACTTGAATAAATATATATAAACTATTTTTAAAATATTTACTTCTATTTGGCAGTAAGGCAAGTAACAAATAAAACTAGGTATGATATCAATGATATACTTTGCAATTATAAATCAATGTTCCTCAGTGTTTTGAAAGGACTAGAAAAAAATATTTAACATGGTTTACAAGAGTAGGTTTTCAATATCTTACAAAAAAAAATATAGTTAAAGATGAAAATACAATATTTTATAGACCGGTAGAGCGATTGGTGTTGACCTGTAGAGCGATTGGTGTTGACTGATAGTGCTATTGATGTGGACTGGTAACGTTATTGGTATGAACCGGTACAGCGATTGGTGTGGACCGGTAGCGCTATTGGTGTGGTAGTGTTATTGATAGTGTTATGGGTGTGGATCGGTAGTGCTATTGGTGTGGTAATGTTATTGATGGTGTTATTGGTGTGGACCGGTAGCGGTGCACAGAAGTACTAGCGGTTAAGAAACTCTGGTATAGACTACTTTTCGTGCAAATAACGCTACTTTTTATACAACAGCTTTAGAATATCCTAATTTGGTATTTATTATGGATCTATAACGTAAGCACAATCATTTAATTTTCAAAAAAAATCAATATTAAATAAAATAAAACTTCAATTATTTCGTGGAAAATTAGGACGATTTTTTATTTATTCTATATTAAATTCTCTATGGCATAGTTCTCAGAATAAGTAAAGTAATCTTATAATTGACATCAGCTCTGTTTTGTGTCGGTTTTTCGTACGAAATGGATGTTAGTACAAGGCAGAGTTAAGAAATCGAGTTGCCACTCCCGTTAAATTATTGGATTATTTTTCTGCGTTATAGGTGAATAAGGTAGTCGCACTATTAATTTAATTATTAATAAAAATTTCTTGAACAGACAAAAAATATATTAGAATAGTATAGTAGTAATAAGTAGTAACTGCCTATAATGTAACAAAGTCAAAATATTTTGCATCTTTGTCAGTGCTTTGATTTACTTACCTATTCTAGTATGCAATTCGAAGAGTTTTAGGTTTGTTTTTTTTTAATAGCTGCCAGGTACCCGTCACTTTGAAAAGATGTTTCCAGTTTTTTGTTCAAGTTGCGCTGTAATGTGATAATTGAGAAATAGTATTTCGAATTATCCGAGTCAAGCTAAAGGAATCTTGTTACCTCTATAAAATTTTTTCATAAATCGATAAAGCTCGAGTGAGTATGTGTAAAAGTATAAACAAATTAATGGACGAAATCAAGAAAAGTACAGGTGAAGTTTGGAGAGATCTGTTTAGGAATAGATATATTTGTATGTGTCAAGTCACTGTTTCACATGTGGCTCAACTAGCACTTCTTGATAAATGGGTTCATACGTGACAAGTAACTATTTTACATGTGGCTAAACTACCTAGTTTAAATATTTCAGTCGGAAGTCTATTCAGTAATTTGTTGTAATGTCTTGTAGCATGGTTTCGAAGGAAACACTGTTGTGTTTGGAATGTTTGGTTTTCTTTTTTTAATTTATCGCTATTTCAAATTAGAAATTCTTGAATCCAACTTTAAATATGAATATTTAAAGATTTAAATATGATTAAGCTTAATATAATTAGTTTTGTTATCGATTAATTGCTAGTACTTCTACTTTCATATGTTTTGAGATTAAAAAATACATTCCTTTCAAGTATTTTTTATATAGTCATGATACCTGCTTCGAACATTTATATTACAACTATGGAATACTTAATATAATTGTTTGTTAGATATTTATGTCAACATATATATAAAAGATTTACAAACTCTTCCAAAATGGTTGGTTACTGTTTTGACTCTTTAATCTTTTGCCTAATTTTGGATATTTTTTTTTAGAAATACTCCTGCAGCCAACCAACCATGTAGAATAAACTGATATAATATATAGTATGAGAATATTATATATATTAATAAGTAATGATTTCTTATGACACAATCAAAAAATAATTATATTTCCTCATAGAAAATTATTATATGTTATATTATTTAAATAATAGAATAATAACTTATCTTCCTATTGAAAAAATTTTGTGTTGTTAGAATAGTCATATTACTTCTAAAAAAGCAATAAAGCAATATATTGGTTAGATTCGTAATTTTACAATTCTTAACAATTGAAATTTCCAAATAGTTTCTCTTTGAATATTATATGTAATTATATACACCATTGCTAGACTAATAAATTAACTAAACTCTAGTTTTTGATTTATTAAATAAATAATTTGGTCGCTTTAGGCATGCTTTTTTTTGGTTAGTAGTTAAAAGAGAATTATATGAGTTTTATATGATTTTATTTACATAATAAAATAGTCTGCATATTTATCTTTTAAATGTTAAAATATGTAAAATTAATTTTTTGCCTTGTATAAACTCTATAAACTATTAAATATAAAGGGTTAAAAATATTAAATGGCTTTATATGAAATGTTATTTAATATATGTTATTTAATGTAAAGTGCAAAAACTATAAAAATTATGTATTTTATATACATATATATTTTATATATGCTCTACATACATTCTCTATGTATACCTATTTATTTAAATTGCTTATAATTCTCGATAAACATTAAGGTTTGTGTGTTTGTTCTTAGGAAAAAAATTAATATAATGAAATCTAGTACATTAATTATATTAGTAAATAGTTAAAATAATTTTTTAATGAAAATGAATTTTAAAGAAAATAAAATTGAATTATATAGAAAATAAAATTGTATTTTAAAGAAAATAAAATTGAATATTAAAGAAAATTAAATTGAATTTTAAAGAAAATTAAATTGAATTTTAAAGAAAATGTTATACCTTACAATAATCATAATCATACTTCGTCATATATAACAAATTATTTGCACTCATAAAGTTAAAAAATTTTCTATAAAATATTGCATCAATACTGTTAATAAAAACATTATATAAAATTTTGTTTTTAACTTAATATATGAGATATATAAAAGAGTATAAAAAATTTGAATTTCTCCAATGTATTAAGCTAATATACTATAAATCTAAAGTAGCAAAATTCGTTTTTTATTTTAATTTTTATAATTATAAAGATTTAATATAAATGATATAATATGAGCACAAATTGTCTTATTCGATTTTTAGTTACAATAACTGCTTGTACGTTCCAAACCAAGTTCATCAAATTATCTACTATAACATTAAATACAAATCCAATATATGAAACCAACATTTAAACTTCAAACAATTTCCAACTTGAACATTACAAACCAAAATTTTGGTTAAAATACACAAAAGAAAATATTAATAAAGCTAATCATTATATTTTAATTAAATTATTGTTAATATTCTGTTGGCGTTTCCTTTTTGCATTCATCGCATCGACAATAGGCTGCCTTTTGGCATTATATTTTTTGTTCAGTTCTTCGATTTCCTTTTCCATTTCGGAATCGATATTATTGAGACGTTGATTCAAATCATCGAAAGTGAGGAATTTTAAAAATTCAAATTCCCCATCAACATAACTGTGTGATTGCGTATGTATGTGATGTTGCTGATACGAAGGCAACTGTGATTGTTGCTGCTGTTGCTGAACATGTTGCTGATTTCGTAACAAATTTTGTTGATTATTTATGGCTAGTATGTGATCATTCATAATTGGATTGCAGCCATAATAAGCTGCTTGTTGTTGTTGCTGCTGCTGTTGTTGTTGCTGCTGTAAATGTTGTTGATGTTGTTGTAGTCCATACTGATTAATGGCAGATATTTGTTGAAAGTGCATTTCCATATTGTTTTCCCAATTATTATCCTTAGTGTTGGCATTCAACATTTGAGCATGATTAAGTTGAGATTGATTGTGTTCCCTGGCTGCAGCAGCAGCAGCTGCTGCAATTGCTTGTGTTGGTGAATATTCTGTACGATTTTCGGAATCAGTACGTAAGGGTACGTCATTGTTTTTACGTTCGAAATGTTCCAGGAATTGTGGACGATAACGCGGTTTATTGAAATCATTCTTTTTGGCAGTAGTCGAATCATCAGAATCTGAATTAATCACCATTGTACCTAAATGATATAACAAATTATTATTATATTTGTATTAATTTATAAACCATATTTTGAATGGTCAGAACACCTTACCGAGAGCAGTTAATAATTTTTATATTTTTTTATTTCATTTGTAAATATTTTAGTTTTTAAAAGTTATAGATTTTAAATGAAAGCTATAATGTAAAATAATCTATTAGTTCAAATGTTTAAAAATAAAGAAAACAAATAATATATAGGCAGTAAAATATGTACATATATATATGGAATGACGTCATAAAATGTGTTCTTTACTAAGCTTATATAAACAAAGACTAATAATAAATAATTTTTTACTCTTTGATGTTTTTTATTGGATTTTTATTGGAATTTTTTGTTTTGTTAGGGAAATACTTATTTATTGCTAAGAGAGAAAAAATAGCTACAGCAGAGGTGATTTCCTTAGAGATTCTTAGATATATTGGCTAAGAACATGATAAATTATCATGTTCATTATCATGTAAATTATAAATATCCTTAAGACTTAAAACTTTTTCATTTAACTTTTTTTATAAAACGACATAACACTATATTAAATATCCAATAACTTAGAAAAAAGTCAAATATTGGTAATATAATTAAAATAATCACAATATATATTTTCAGAATACTATTCAGTGATACTACTTATAATTCAGATACATTTTATTACAAAGAATTTATTAAGGTGGAATTGTTTTTGTTTTCTGCATTGTTTTTGTAACGAAGGCTAGTGAAATTCTTATGGGATCCCTAATAGGATTGAAGCACCCATTGGTGTTCTGTACATACAAGGGACACCAATTCGCCGGTGTTGTTGTGGTAACCTACTGGTATATAAAAGCAGATAAAATTAAATAATTTACAAGACGAATGTATGGGTTGGGATGTAGATGGGTGGGTTTTAAATTGAAATCAACCCGAGTTCAGACGGAGAAATCTTGCCAATGTAATACAAGGGTCTTGTAGACGGCGCTGCTGCTATAACCTACTTTAGAAGTGTTTGTCTCTATTTCTAATATTTACTTTTTAACTACTTAAGCCTGATACTAACATCCATTCCGCACGAATAAATGATATATTAATTAATTAATATTAAATATTATATTAATTGTCTTGTTATTGTAACCCGCAAGAATCTTCTTGTAAGATCCCTTTGAGCGATGGTGAATGAATGGCACTAGGTCGTCGTGGTTGACGGGTGGCTCCAGGACGTGGACCCGTCCATTCTTGGAAGCTTTCGTGCGAAATAAATGTTGGTACTAGGTTTTATATCAAAAATTCAGCGAAAAGAACAAAATTAATTTACAATTGTGTTATTATCAACTGCATTAAAAATGACTTAACTACAACATTAACTTACCCAAATTAGATTCTAACTCGACTAAAGTGCCAGTGTCTAAAGCATTTAGTACTGCTATAGCTTCTGTTCCCACAAGCGTACCACTATCTGCTGCATGTGCTATCATTGTTGCATCAGACGCAGATGTATGTTGATATTCATTAAGTTTATCTGGTACTAAAGTACCTGGATCATCAATGAATGTTTTCACAGTTTCTCCCTGAAATTCTGTCTCCTCTTCTTGCAATTGTTCACCCTGCTGTGTGGCTAAACTTTTTGGACTTAACGCAACACTTGGTCCAACAGTAGAACGATTTGCACGCTGCTGTTCACGTATAGCACATGTTTCTTCAATCATAGATTTGAGTATACCACGTGTTTTGGCATTACGTATAAATTCATGTTCCAATAAATCAGTTGCAGTAGCACGTTCCTCTGGATTCTTCACCAAACATAAACTAACGAAATCTATAAATTCAGTACTCCAACGATCAGGTTCACGAAAGGACGGTGGCGGTTTCTGTGGTATCATAAATATGGCACGCATGGGATGTATATCACCGTAAGGTGGTTTTCCTTCTGCCATCTCAAGTGCTGTTATGCCAAGAGACCAAATATCAGCAACACAGTCGTAACCAATTTCTTCGATTACCTCTGGTGCCATCCAAAATGGCGTACCAATAACTGTATTACGTTTAGCCATTGTATCCGTAAGTTGTCCAGCCACACCAAAATCTGCTAATTTTGCATAGCCTTCTGTGTTTAATAATATATTGCCAGCTTTTATATCACGATGTATTTTACGTCGCAGATGTAAATATACCAAACCTTTTAATGTGTCTGATAATATCGTCGCAATTTCATCTTCTGTTAAGGTCTTTTTGCGTAAACGCATTATATCTGACACACTACCGGCTCCACAATACTCCATACATATCCAAAGATCATATTGTTTAAAATACGAACCATAATAACGAACCACATACGGCGAATCACATTGCTGCATAATTGAGATTTCTTTTATAATTTCATGCAAGTCCGACTCCACCGGCACTAGTTTTATCGCTACTATCGAGCTACTTTCTTTGTGTAAAGCTTTGTAGACAGACCCATAACTGCCCTCACCCAGTTTACAGATAATGTCAAAGACCTTTTCTGGCGGCTGTAACAGAGATTCTTCTGAAAGTTTTTTCAACTCACTTTTGGAAGACATGCTGATACTTATGTTTAAAAAAATATTACTTTTCTTTAATTGTTAACTTTATTTTTACTAATCATATATTTTAAAACATTTTTATACGATTATTTTTATTATAAAACCAACTTAAAGGCTTTGAAAAAAGTTTTCCCACAACAAAAGAATTAAAATGAGCAAATAAAGAATTCTAAAGCTGTCAAAATTCTCTCTGTTTGATGGAATTCTTTTGCATCTGCGGGGGAGTGTAGAGTTTACGAGTGTAGAGACATAGGTAGTCACAAATATTAATAAATATCATTTTATATTTTTTGTAGAGTATTATTATAATTTTATTGCAATATATTTTATTATATTATATTATATTATATATTACATTTAATTTAATATTACATTATAATATATTTATATATATAAATATTTTTGGCTTTAATGCAAACTTTAAATTTATCTTAAAATTTTAAAATAAAAAACTTTTCTACATAAAGTTGCAAATATTTCCGAGTTTCTTACCTTCTTTGCACGGAATGCACAGATGGCGCGAACTTGCAATGGACAACAACAAAACACACGTGCAAAGGTTCTTGCAATCTTGCTACACCAAAACCCGTGTATATATGCTTGCAACGAAACAAAAAAGAAAAAAAAACAGCTATCTTGACATCTGTTGCTTCTCATGTCTATGTGTATGTATGCAAAAACAGCTGTCTCTCAATTTTGCTGCAGAGGTATTCTCGCACTCTTGTAATTTTAATATAGCATTCTTCCATTTCATACAGCTTGCAATGACTTTGCAAGATAGAGTGAATACCCCTAATGCGTTTTTTGCAGGATTTGCAGGTGGTTGGTGCCAATATTATAGATTGTTTCTTTTCGTCTCAATGTTATATTTATGTTTTTTTTTTTTGAAATTTGAAAGCTCTATAATGTAATGCTTTATCTATCTATTATTCTGATGTTATCCAGGTCTGCCGTGTGTTTTGTAAATGCCATGTGTTGCGCTAAGACCTTTGTTTTTTCATGAATTTCTCTCTCTCCCTCTCGCATTTTCTTCAAAAGTGGTGTGATTGCTGATACTGGAAGGACTTTATGGAATGAACTCTTTGCTTATTCACAAATTATTTTATATATTTTAGTCCATATAGAATATAGAATTTCCGTGGCAAGTTTTGTATTCAAATCTATGTGCACATGGCATTAGTTTATTTGTCGATAACAAGTTACTTGAAGAAAAATCAAAATATGTATATTGATATTTTGGCAACAAGCAATTTAAACAGAGTCTGTCTGCATGTATACAAATATATTTCGGTGATATATTCAAAACGTATGACCATACAAACTGATCATTGTTTGGCTTTTTTAAAGTTGTTGCAAATTTTTAAAATTGATATGCAACTTGTTTATTAGTTTATTATTATTTAAAAGATATTATTTAGTAAGATTGACAATAAATCAATCTATGTGATATAAAACAATTGAGTTTTACATAAAACAATTAAGTTTGATTCGAAGCCAATTATATCTGAGGCAAGCAAATAATTTACTGCTAATTTATCTCATCGAATACAAATATACAATTTTTCATTTTAATTATAATAAATTTTGTAATTTTATAATTTTAATAAAACAAAAAACCATTACATTCACTGCAATTCACTATTCTAAAAGATTTGGATTACAATAATTGTCATTTATAATTGTCATAAATGTCTTTTATTATAACAAATATCATTTATTATAATTACAATAAATATCATTTATTACATTAAATACCATTTGTTATGATAAATATCATTTATTAAAATTAATATCATTTATTACAATAAATATTTTTTATTATAATATGAACATTTTGTACACAAATCACTTCAGTGTGAATGTACCTTTGTCACTATCAGTATATGAAAATTTGTTTTCTCCAACTCATTGCTTGCTGGGGTCATTTACATTGTATGATTTTTTCCTTTTCCAACACTAGTGACAACATCAACAGTAATATCTGCATTGCACATGTTCTTGGTTAGCTTTCATCATCACTTCTCAAGAGTGTATTGCAATTGCTTTTAAATATATTTCAACATATTTCAATAATTGTTATCAAGCAGTGCTCACTGGTGTTGCTATAAATTGTAAAAGCACGAATAGTGGGGCAGTATTAAATAAACAAAGTTGAAAATATATAAACAAAATGCCTGAGCAACAACAAATTGAAGTGAATGCTTCTGGAACAGAGGCCGCTGGTCCACCAAAAACGGCCAAGCAGTTAGAAAAAGAAGCGAAAAAAGCAGAAAAATTGGCCAAGTTGCAAGCGAAATTAGATAAAAAAGCAACTACAGCTCCAACTACAAATGAAAAGAAGGAAAAAACTGAGGTAAATGAAGTGAAAGGAGATACGCTTTTAGTGCTTTGGGCTGCTATTGTTATATTTTTTACACGATAAGTGAAAGTTAATTTAATGACTGTAACATAGTTTACAATTATATTCTGCGTTTCTTATAATTGTTTTTTTTTTTAAACTTTTAATAGAAAAAAGTCAAAGAAGTAAAAGAGGCTGCAGTATACACTGCAATTACAGCACCAGGTGAAATGAAAGATATTAGTGGCGCTCTACCCGATTCATATAGTCCACGTTATGTTGAAGCGCAATGGTATAGTTGGTGGGAAAAGCAGGGATTCTTTAAACCTGAATATGGTGTAAGTGTACTTTACTATTGTAATAGTGTTGTAGTCCATGAGTCATAACAACAAAAATAGTTCAAAAGTTTGAGAGAAGCTCAATTTTACATCTTTGATTTTTCAGTTGAAGAGTATAACTGAACCGAATCCGAATGGTAAATTTGTTATGGTGATACCGCCACCGAATGTAACTGGTTCATTGCATTTGGGTCATGCTCTGACGAATGCTATCGAAGATGCAATAACAAGATATAATCGTATGAAAGGACGGACAACACTTTGGGTGCCCGGTTGCGATCATGCAGGTATTGCCACACAAGTTGTGGTGGAGAAAAAACTATGGCGTGAAGAGAATCTATCTCGCCATGATTTGGGCCGTGAGAAATTTATTGAAAAAATCTGGGATTGGAGACGTGAGAAAGGTGTGCGCATTTATGATCAACTGAAACGTTTAGGTTGTTCATATGACTGGACTCGTGTCGCTTTCACAATGGATCCAAAATTATGTCGTGCAGTTACAGAAGCGTTCGTGCGTTTACATGAGGATGGCAGCATATATAGAAGTTCACGTTTGGTAAATTGGTCTTGTGCTTTACGTTCTGCAATTTCTGATATTGAAGTAGACAAAATTGATATACCAGGCAGAACGTTCTTTTCCATACCTGGCTATGATGAAAAGGTAGTTGTTTTTATAATTGATTTTTTAATATTTAATATTTACTTTAATTTTGACTATAGGTGGAATTTGGTGTTTTAATTAAATTCGCTTACAAAGTTGAAGATTCAGATGAAGAAATAGTTGTGGCTACTACACGTATTGAAACAATGTTAGGTGATACAGCAGTGGCTGTGCATCCACAAGATGAACGCTATAAACATTTGCATGGTAAATTTGTTAAGCATCCATTTTGTACTAGAAGGCTACCGATTGTCTGTGATGAGTTTGTGGATATAGCTTTTGGCACTGGTGCAGTGAAAATAACACCTGCTCATGATCCTAATGATTATGATGTGGGAAAACGTTGCAATTTACCATTTATTACAATTTTTAATGATGATGGCATTATTATTGGTGACTGTGGAGAATTTACTGGTATGAAACGCTTCGAGTGCCGTAAAAAGATTTTAGAAAAACTAAAAGAAATTGGACTTTATCGTGAGACTGTAAATAATCCAATGGTGGTACCGTTCTGTAGTCGTTCAAAGGATGTTGTGGAACCCATGATTAAACCGCAATGGTATGATTTATATTTATAAATATATTTTTACTCATCAACAGTATTAATGTTTTTAATTCTAGGTATGTTAAATGTAATGAAATGGCTGCTAAAGCAGCTCAGGCTGTACGTGATGGAGAATTGAAAATTTTGCCAGAACATCACACAAAGATTTGGTATCATTGGATGGATGGCATACGTGATTGGTGTGTGTCTCGACAATTATGGTGGGGTCATCGTATACCAGCTTATTATGTTACATTCAATGATTCAAGTTTAAAGAGTGGCTCCGTAAGTATAAAAAAATGTATTTATTATTAATGTTTTCTTGCTGAAAGTGAAGTATCTTATAACGTAAAGACTCTTTATAAAAGATAGATAAAAACTAATGTATTAGCTTTTATTTTTTCACTTCAGCATTTTTATTAATTAAAAATAATTTAAAAAGTCAACTATAACTACTCTATATTAATTATTTGTCTTTGTTGGACATTTTTTAGTCGGATGATGAGCAATACTGGATTGTTGCACGTACAAGAGAGGAAGCATTAGCAAAAGCAGCACAGAAATTCAATGTCGATGCAACTAAAATAGAACTTCATCAAGATGAGGATGTACTCGATACTTGGTTTAGTTCTGGATTATTCCCCTTCTCTGTATTTGGTTGGCCAGACAATACTGCCGATATGCAAGCATTTTATCCAACAAGTTTACTAGAGACTGGACAAGATATTCTATTCTTTTGGGTAGCACGTATGGTGTTCTTCGGTCAGAAATTACTTGGCAAATTGCCATTTAAAGAAGTTTATTTGCATCCAATGGTACGTGATGCACATGGTCGAAAAATGTCTAAATCATTAGGCAATGTGATAGATCCCATGGATGTAATATTGGGTATTAGTTTGGAAGGTTTACATGAACAGTTAGTTAATTCCAATTTAGATCCACGTGAATTGGAGAAAGCTAAAGCAGGACAAAAACAAGACTATCCAAATGGCATACCCGAATGTGGTTCAGATGCAATGCGTTTTGCTTTGTGTGCATACATAACACAGGCGCGTGATATTAATTTAGATATAAATCGTGTACAAGGATATCGTTTCTTCTGCAATAAAATTTGGAATGCCACCAAATTTGCGCTGCTCTACTTTACAGGCGAAGAGAGGTATACATCTGAATTGAAATTAATTGGTAATGAAAATAACATGGATGTATGGATTTTGTCACGTTTGGCCGCAACCATAGAGGCTTGTAATGCTGGCTTTGAGCAATATGAATTCGCGGCAATAACCACTGCTTGCTATAGCTTTTGGCTATATGATTTATGTGACGTTTACTTAGAGTGTCTAAAGCCTATATTCCAGAGTGGCACTGAGTCACAAATAGCGGCTGCACGCAAAACGCTTTTTACTTGTTTGGACTTGGGTCTACGTATATTGTCACCTTTTATGCCTTTCATAACAGAAGAACTGTTCCAGCGTTTGCCACGTGCTGATACTACACCCAGTATTTGTGTGACAGCGTATCCAGGTGAGTTTTATCTTTCCTAAAGTTATATACTTATTTTAGCGCTAGGGTCCAATAGATCTATGAATGACTTACAGCTAGCCTGTTTAATCTATATGTTTATTCTAATATTTGCTTTATTTTTTAGATAACACCAATTGGCGTAATGAGCAAGTGGAGAAGGAGGTGGAGTTCATGCAAAAAGCTGCTCGCATCATACGTTCTGCACGTTCTGATTATAATTTGCCGAATAAAACGAAAACTGAAGCTTACGTTGTGTGTACGGATACACAATCTAATGAAATACTCAAAAAATATGCTAATGATTTGGCTACGATTTCGTATTGTGCGAAAATTGAATTAGATAGCACACCTCCAGTTGGCTGTGCTATACTGACTGTCAGTGGACAGTGTGAAGTGCATTTATTGTTAAAGGGTCTAATCGAGCCTGCAAAAGAGATTTGTAAACTGCATAAGAAAATGGAGCAATTAATACAGACTGTGACTAAATTAAAGCAAGCTATGCAGGCGGTGGATTATAACACTAAAGTTCCGGCAGAAGTGCAGACAGCAAACACGGAAAAGTTGCAACAATCCGAAAACGAATTAGAACGCATTATTGGTGCTATCGAAACCTTGAAATTAATGTAATTTATTTCTGTTAGGTTTCGTACTTTTTTGTTTTTTTATATTTATTACTTTTTGTGTTTTTAAATTTAATGAAATTGATTTTTTAAACTATAAAATAGCATTGCAATGATATTTGATTTTACTTAAAATAGTTGGCTTTAAGCTTTTGAATACAATATAAATGATGAGTAAACGAAAATATTTAGTATTTTTTTGTTTAATTGAAGACAAATTCAAAATATGAAACATTTTAGAAAATGCTGACTAAAATGTATTCTTAAGTATTTTTCAAAAATATAGAGTCTACATATATAACTTACATCCACAATATGTGGTCAAGATTGTACTGAAAATAACATGAAACTTTTACAGCCATATATTCAGATTCAAAAACTAGGTGACAGCACACTGTGTTTGACGAGTATAAGGCAGATATATTATATATAACATAAAGAAGTATATAACCTAAAACTAATATAAATTTTGATTAAACCGTTAAATTTTTTTTATCGTTCATATAAAATATTTATATCTATATACTAATGTTTAATGCACTGAGACGACGATGTTTTAAAACCTACTACTAGTAATTTTAATAAACTACTGTCGATTCGTATACTGATCATATATGTACGTGCATTTAAGGCTGTTGTAAATAAACCCCGATCAATAGAATAGAAATAAACAGTGTACCAGCTCCCATCGGAGCACTGCGACCATAGTTAATCTTTTGTGCTGCAACAGACCCTAACCGAACAGAAGACATTCCGTCTTCCAAATGAAAGCCAGAAAGTCAGTCGTTAAAGGCCTCCTAATGTCAGAAAGGGAGAGTAATAGCAAATCAATAGCAACACATAAAAGGTTGACAAGATTGTACATAAGTTGGAGGAAAAAGGAAGACAATATTGAGTTTGAAAGGAATTAGGATGAAAGGTACAGGTCGGGATGTCGATCGAACCTAAACCCAGGTAAAGGAATGCCACCACCTTTTCTGGACGGAGCCCATAAATCAATAGAGCTCAAAATTGTGGGAGTATTTTGGCTAGAAAACAAATGTGGATATCATGCGGAGTAGAGCTGCAGTTAGGGTTGAGATTTGGAATGTATACATTTATTGGCGTACATTTAAACAATTTAGATGTGACTAATATATTGACGATTGAACTGATGTTGTTACCGGTCAGGATTAGCTTAATGTGAAATTGGCTACATGTTAATCCAAATGCACTTTCTCTTTAGAAAAGCATTCGATTTCTTGACAGATTTGGTTTTGCTGTAGATCCAGAGTAGAATACAGAAATAAATGCTCTTAACCACATTTGCAATCAAAATTTCTACGAGATAGGAGTTCTAGCATTCAATAAGCGTACAAAATGTCTAGTGTTCAGTTCAACACAGATTATTTAGTTAAAAAAATCTGTATCTATATTCCTTGAAAAGCCTCCATTTGTTGTTTAATAGTCCGTAACATCTAGAGCACGAACAGCAACAGCGTGTTTTAGAGAACACGAGCAAGAACAGTAGTAAGAAAATAAATAAAAATGTAAGTAGAGCATTTTCAATATTAAAAAAAGAGTAGTCTCCACCCCGTATTGGGAACGCAATAGTGTCCATAGTTTGTATAACTATTTTGTAACAGTCGTTTTGTAACAAAAATAATTTATTATATGTAACAAATTGACTTAACATAAAAGCACAACGAAACTAAATTTACCAGGTTAACCTCGTTGCGTGATCTGTTTTTCTTTTAGACATTTTGATATAGCCGAGAAATTGCAATTCAGCAACAGCGCGTGTAAAACGTGCCCTATAAATTTAAAAATAATTATTATGTGTCTTCGAAGCAATAACAAAAAATCTTTACTTACTGTATTTGTGGATCGACTTGATCATTTTCCTCTTCACTATAATCCACCACTGATCGAAATGCTTGCAGCCAATCAAATAAATTTATCATGCGTCCACATTCTAAATGCAGTTTATAGGCTACCGATAAATCTGGTAAAGTCTGCAATAATTGCGTATGCTCTTCCAGTTGGCAGCATTTGCATTGCAAATAAAAATGTGGATTATTGAGTGCCATATGTAGAGCAGCACGTGGTGCGCCAATAATATTTTTCCGCACCACACTAATATCAGTGAAAAAGAAGAGCTCATGCAATGGTGGAGCTCGTTGCAGTGGTGTTAAGTGACATTCAACAATTTCAGTTTGTATATACTTTAATATTTCATCCACAGCTTTTGTAAATTCGGAACCAGGTTTTTCTTGTTTAGATAATTGAAGTAAACGCTCTTTAAGATCCTGACGCGATGATAATTGTTTAAGTTCTTCGCCGGAATTAGTTTTTTTTTCATTCTTTTTTGTCTCTACACCGGACATAACAATGTTTGTCAATAATTCCTTAACAGTAGTAAGTTTTGCTTCGACAATTGTTGCGCAGTCATTTGCTAGTTCAAGTGAATCTACTTCCGTTAGTAGAAACTCTTGTGTGGCCTTAATTGCTGAAGAAATTTTTGCCACAAATTCATCCTTTGACATCAAACTGAGATATTGCCAACATTCTCGGAATTCAGGCTGTGTTACGAGATCTTTGGATAAACATATCGCATACAATTCACGTCGAAATTTACCCAATGGACATTTGGGTAAATCATTAACTAAAGCTGTTAGGAATTCAAGAAATGTACGCATCACCATAAAATGTACATGACAGTCGCGTAATAATTGCGGTAACTTTTTCTTCAGATAATCATCGTCTGTTAGTATTGCAATGATACGCTTACAGTCATTAATACCCTCAACATACGGACGGAATGATAACAAACGACGTATTGTTTCCATATCATCATGTGTCATGGATTTTATTTTCATTAACGACGCTGCATAGCTTGTACAGAGCGCATAGGCATTACCTTGAAAATAGTGTTCCATAAGACAATACTAGAAAAAATAACTTATATATAAATAATTCTATATTAAAGGATCCTAATGGTGTTGATATTTACCTTGAATCCTTGTATGAAACCATTTAACGAGAAGTCATAATACAGAAAAATATGCGTTAGAAATTTGAGTGCTTTGCCAGACAAATGAAATGCATATTTGGGTGATAAAATAACCTTGTCCACTATCTGTATTTACATAAATTAGTTTATAATTAAAAAATATAATAAATATATAGAAAAAAAGAGCTTTACATCATTGAGCCCGACCAGCGCTGCTTGTGTTTGAAAAATGCGAAGCTTTATTTTGCAAGTAACGTTATAGGGTAATGCACTATGCACAGCCGAAACGCCTGTAGCAATACCTAGTATTAACACGAAAGGTAGTTGAGCACGATTTGCACTTAGTATGAGTATAAAATCCTGAAGTACACTAGTATTAAAGCATTCAAAATCGTGTAAAATTACGACTAAAGCATGAGATGTACTTCTAGTTTCTTTTTCAGATATATCACTGTCTTCTTCCAGGTTTTCTTTTGATTCATTATTTTCTATGGAAAAATTGTTGTTATACCAATACTTCAATTGTTTTATCGTACATTGAGAACGTCTCAAACGCTTATGATCACGGTCTTCACATTCTTCCAAGGGTTCTTCTACAAAGTTATAGACCATAGTTTCTATAGCGGATTTTATATTTGGACAATCGCGTGACTGTAGCACACAAACGCTAGCTGACATTTTTGAGCGTATATGCTGTGATAGCGTTTCAAACTGTTCCAAGTGATCGACTTGGTTGATGCCTAGACAAAATACATACATATAAAACAAATAATTAAGCACAAGTATATAAAGAAGTGCAATTCTAATACCTGTTAGAAGCGCTGCTGTAGGCAAAATATCTTCTATACCATATGATTCTAGGCAATTTGTACTGAGAGTTTCATTAGTCACATAATCAACTAAATCGTTTAAAATTCGTGCATTGCTTTGTTCCTGCAACGTTTCAATGTGTTTCTGAAATTTTTGCCAATTTTGCGAATAAACTTTATGAAACGGTTGTTCAGTTACTTCTGTGTCAAGCACTGATGTTGTACTGCCATGCTTCCGTTTAGTCGTCTTTTTAACTGATTTGGATGCTCTTGTTGCTCCATTTTTATATACAAAGCAGCCCTAATATAAAAAAAATCCATTTGATTTAGTAATAAATACAAATTAAAAATGTTTAATTTAATAAATTAACTTTTTGATAATGTTATATTCAAAATTAATATAATTATACCGTTTCATACATTTTTTTAAAATAAAATTGTGTATATACATATTTCTTTTTTATAAGTACCTTTGAAACCGATATCGTTGGATCCATTTTTAAAACTAAATGTAAATTACAAATTTAACCGAACAAACTTTGTCACTTAGTTTAAATATTGTTTATGTTTGCAAAAACGTCGAATTAGTTCATTCAACTTTAAACTAAAATAATTCAAATTTGCAACGCATCGCAATTTGATCAACAACAAACAGATGTTTTGTAATTTTTCCCGCCAAAATGTAGAAGAAAACAATTTTATTATTGTGAATAAACGAGAATTTTTTGTTCATACTATACCCCATACAAATCAACGAGTCTGCGTATAACACGATATATAAATAATTATTACATGATCTTTTTAAATTATTTAAACTCTATTTATTTATATTGAATCTTAAGATATTGAGTGCAGAAAATTTGTTATAACAAACTAAATACCTATTTTTTCAATTAAGCTTTATCTTAGATATGAGAGGATTTGTCTTGGAGGATATCTTTCAAACAAGCAGTTACATAAAATTTCAATTAATATCGAACTGTTTATCACATCTAGTTAAATCATATTTTGTATCGGTTTTTACAAATTTGAAAAGTGATTATTTTTGATTTAGTTAATCAAGCAAACAGTTAAAAAGCACGAAAGCTCATATTAAATTTTCTTAGGAAGTTAAACTCAGTAAGTAAGTAGTTGAAACTTAGATTATGCTTTAACTTATATTAAAGCTCATATTAAATTTTCTTAGGAAGTTAAACTCAGTAAGTAAGTAGTTGAAACTTAGATTATGCTTTAACTTATATTAGAGTGGTAATCTAGCACATACGCGTGCTATGTCCCTTTGTAATACCACCGATTTCGTTTCATATGATTAATGCTAAATATCCTTAATTTGTGCTATATTCTTTACATAAACAAAAATAATAAAAACATAAACGTTATTACTTTTAAAGTATTCATAAAAATGCTATATTTTTCTAAATTCTATAAAAGGTTTTAAAAGACCTACATGATGCTTGACACAAGATAATAAAACGTGACTTTGTTCCTTCTATTTGATCATCTACAGGCCTTAGGCCTTATTAATTTATTTTCTTAATAACATATTAATAATAAAAATTTATTAATAAGTAAAAATTGAATAAAACAATTAAAGTTTGCAAGCCTTTGAAACGGAATTATACGGAAAACCAAAAAATTCTCAATTCAAAAAAATATTTATGGCATAAAACCGGTTTATTTCATTTTAGTGTCACACAGTTAATTAATGAAAGTTAAAAAAGGCAAAAATAAGTTTTTATACATAAATTTGTTTTTTTTTTCTTAAATAAACTATGCTTTTGAATAAGAATAAAATAATTTTTATCATAATAAAGACATGAATTTGCAATACGAATAGAGAAATAGTGATTATCTCAAAACCGAAAAATCGATATTTTTACCGAAATAAAAACCGAACTGCACCAATCCCTTTATTGAATCGGAACGAAGTCCTGAAAGTTTGTAATATACGATAATAGTCTTTAATTTTATATATTGGATTAGTTGCTTGATCTAAACGAAGAAATTGTGCAGTCGTCATTTCTGCGCATCGATTCAGTTATACTGCGTATTAGTTTGATATATTTTGCATACAGTATGTGAAAGATTTTTTATTATTTCAGTTGCAATTATCAAATTCAATTGCACATTTTTATATGGTAAATTATTTATTCTTGCATATTTTTTCAAAAAAATTTAATTATATATATGTACGACATATATCGGAGATATATTTAAATATATATAATTTTGTTGCAGAATTTTAATATTTCTCCACTATTGTTGCCGTACTGAAATCAAATTTTTTGACGTACTGTACTTTTAGAAAATAAAAGGAACATTCATATTAAAAGATAAGTTGAAATTGTAATTTTGTTTAGATCGAATAAATGCCATTGGATTTAATTTGAACAAATGGACGATAATGTCGATATTTACGCAGATCTTGACGAATTCTATGTGGTTGAAAAAAAAGTAAGCCTAATTGACAAATGTTTTTTTGTTCCGAATAATAAATTGTTCTAAATAAAAGATTCCTTGTTGGCTAATTTTTTGTTTTTTCTAGAAAGCAGATGAACAAGCATCTAGTGACAAAGTAGTACAGGATTTACGGGATGAAAATAAAGATTTAAAAAAACAATTAAAAAATATAAGAAATAACTTTCAAGCCATGTTGACAACAGTCCGACAGGAAATAAAACGTAAAGATGAACAACTAAATGAAAAACGCAGAATGTAAATACAATATTTATTATTTATATTATTTATAGCAATTATTTAAAAGTGTTTATTATGATTTCTTTAACAATGCAGTGAAGACGATCGGATATTTAGGCGTCGCGCATATCTATGTAGTAATTGTTCGCGCCCTTTGGACGTTGATATTCAATATAAAGACGCGTCTCAACAAACAGATATTAATTTTTTAAATCAAAACTTCGAGAAGGAAGGAAGGGTACAAATTAGTAGTAAAGTTAATTTTACACATTTAAACATAAAAGAACAGGAATCTAAAAGTAAGAATCAATATGTGGAAGATATGAATTCACATAATGATTATAACAATACATACGAAAGTTATAGGCATGAACATTTTTATGATGGTTGTGCGTCCAAAGAACGTGGGGGTCGCAGTAACAAATATTTCAATGACACATCTAGAGAAGATTGTCGTGATAAACGCGTGGAACGTTCAAGTTTACATAATGATCGTAGTCACAGTAATCGACTTAATACTGAATATGGTGGTATCGCTCACTTTGAGCAAATACCAACTGCTTTTAGTAACCAAAAAACTGCAAAAGAAGGAGAGAAATTTAATACTAAAAATTATTCTGCATATTCCTACTTAAGAGACCATGAGTCTAAAAATAGGGATCAATTTGTGGCACGATCAAGTTCACATAACGATTCTAACAGCAAATATCAGAATGATAGGCATAACCATAAATACGATGATGGCCCAACTAAAACAAGTGGCGTTAGTAGTCATAAATATGCTGGTGATGTGTCTATAGAAGCTGATTGTCGTGATAATAAGAATATTGGGAACAGATTTACTGAAACTGATAGTCGTAGCCGGAAATATGTAGAAACTCATAGTCGTAACCCAAATAATTTTAGTCACCAAAAATATAAGTTCAGTCTGTTAACCGAAAATGAAAGCCATAATCACAAAAATTATACTAACAAACCTAAGGACAGTTCCTATATTAAAAGTGTACGCAACTCTAGAAAGACAATTTCTAGTATGGAAGATATGCAAGGACGTCATCATAGATATGATAGTAAAACTGAAGTTAAAGCTACAAAAGGTGCATCCAGTAGCAAACAACGAGCTCAAAGCGTGGAAAAATGTAAAACTGAAGTTCGCTCATCGGAGAGGTTAAAACAAATGAATAAAATTGAATACAAAAACTTTGATTCAATAGGTGAAAAGATTAAAACTTCAAAAGAGGATGTATTGGAGGAATCTGATAAAAGTGTTAAAACTAAAACTACATCTAAGAAAAAGGACAAAAAAGAGATTAAACATTCAAATAGTGAAGTAAATATGTTACCAAAAAAAGTTAATAAAACCAAACAAAGTGCTTCCACTCAAAATAAAAGTGAAATTAACAAGCAAAAATTAATAGAAAAAAATAAACGACAAAACACTGATATTGGTATAGTTAACCCAGAAACATTAACTGTAACAAGCTCAAAAAGCTCTCGGGAATGTATAGATACAAATAAAAATGTGCCAGATGTTTCCAAAGAAAATAGCGATTTGCATTCTGCTGAAGAAACTTCCAAGAATGAGAAAAGCCAAAGTGCTACAAAATGTAAAGAATCTGTTATTAGTTACGAAACTAAAAGCCCTGATGCTGAAATTGTTGTGAATAAAGCAGCTATCGACGAAAGTGCTCAGGATAGTAAAAGTTTAGGTTTAATAGAAGCTTCACAAAAAACATCTAACAATAGAATTAGGGAATGCTCCGAAAAGCATACAGAAGCTGTTGTTGAGAGTAAGCTCGAAGAAATTCCTGATCATAGCAAGAATCCAATTCTAAATGCCGATAACATCACGACAGAAAAAGATCTGATTATGGTTTCGAATAATGAATCTGCAGAGAATATTTCTGATAATATTGATGCCAATAGAAGTACGATTGATCATAATAAAGATACCATTGTAAATGTCGATAACAATAGCACAGAAGAACGATACAATGATTTGATTGTAGTTTCAAATAATGAATCTGTAGAGATTGTTATTAATAGTATTGATACTAATAAGAGTAGGGTTGACAATAGCGAAGATACGGTTGTAAATGTCGCTAATAACAGCACAGAAAAACAATACAATGATTTGATTGTAGGGTCAAATAATGAATCTGTAGAGATTATTATTGATAGTATTGATACTAATAAGAGTAGGGTTGGTCATAGCGAAGATACAGTTGTAAATGTCGCTAACAACAGCAAAGAAAAACAATACAATGATTTGATTGTAGTTTCAAATAATGAATCTGTAGAGATTATTATTGATAGTATTGATACTAATAAGAGTAGGGTTGATCATAGCAAACATACAGTTGTGAATATAGATAATAACAGCACAGATAATGATCTAATTATAGTTTCAAATAATGAATCCAGAGAGGATGTTACTGATAGTATTGATAATAATAAAAATAAGTTAGATCCTAATAAGGATACAATTGTAAATGTCGATAATAAAAGCACGGAAAAACATAATAATTCGAAAATAGTTTTAAATAATAAATCCGAAGAGTTTATTACTGATAATGTTAATGCCAATAAGTGTGAGGTGGACAGTATTAACAATAACAAAATAGAAAGTGAAGTGTTATGTCAACAACCTACAGAATTGTATTCCAATTCCAGTGGGTCTAAGTCTAACTCTAACTCTATAACAAAACAAGAAATTGAATTACAAAGAAACTTTGAAAATACTATACCGCATAAAACACGAAAGCCAAAACTGAAACGAAAATGTGTGGATAATTCAAATGCCACGGTAAGCGGTGTGGCACCAAAAAGACGGAAATGTAAGAATAAAAATTCCCATACGCCTGTAGATGAAATTGATAAAGCCTTAAATGACATGTTCAATACGGAAAGCAATCCGGTATCCGAATTAAGTGTGACTGAAGATACAAATTCACAAAATCAAATGGGCGGGGATAATAAAACATCTATCTTACAGGATGAAATGAACCGAGACGAAGAAGAGATGAAAGAAGCAATTAAATCTATTACTACGAATAATTCCAATGTTGACACTACGGAATATGTTGAAATGCAATCAAATTTAGTGAATACGACACCTGGAGTTATATTAGATTTAAATAATTATAATGTTAGCATTGACAGCAATATGCATTTGAATCCCTCGTTAGTAGTATCCGCTGAGCAATTAAATGAATATGAGGTGATTGACTCTTTTGATTGTCGCACCGAAATTGTACAAGGTGATTATAATATGGAAAATAATGAGACATGTATAGTACCGAATTCGTATGAATCTGTGATTTATTTGCCAATAGTTACAGAGAACAATAATCACAATATACATTTTCCTGAAAATTCTGTATCTAATCATCACGAAATGAATGATGAGTTGATAATAAATAATACGGAATTAAATAACAATATAAACGACAATAATAAATTAGTTACTGAGCCAGCAATTCAAAGCTTACACAATGATAAAGAAACATCATTTATAAAATGTATAGTAACTGATTCAGGTTTTGTGCCGAATTGGAATACAAGCATCGATGCAAATAGTACTAACAACAGTAGTTTGAACGAAAGTCAGAAATCGAGTACTGGAGAAGCAAAACATATGAAAGTTGGTCGACACGAATGTGTAATAGAATCTGAATCTCCAGATGTGACAACTATATTAATACCTGGACGTAAACGTCGCAAACGTTATCCAATGAAATAGTTATTATATTTTTTAGTTTATTAGTATTTGGATGTAATTTATTATATTGTTATAATATCGTTAAAATCTATTTAAAATGTATTATATTTATTACTTTTATAATATTTTTTTTTATAATTATTTTTAATAAAATATTTTTTATATAATTTCTTACTTTATCACTTTTAATATAATATTAATTATTAATATATTAAGAACATAATTTTAACATAATAATATTATAATAATATTAATATAATAATATTCATATGATAATATAATATTATTAATATAATATTAATATAATAATATTAATATAATATTATCAATAATTAATTAAGTATAAGTTTTAAGTATATTTTTATTATATTTTTAATATAATATTTCAAATTATTTGCCATTTTTAGTTTTATATTACTTTAAATAATATGAAAAGTATATGAATAAAACACTTATTTTATTTGTTAATTTCAAACAAAAATTGTATTTTATTAATTTATAAGCTATTTTGGTTTACTTCATAAACTATTATCAGTGTGAATGATGTTTTTGTTAATTAATTTAATGTTTTAAATTAATAAAATAACATTAATAACACTGAAGATGGTATACAATGGCTTATAAAAAAATAACTATAATTTTTGTTTAAAATTAATGTTTTATTTACATATTTTAAATAATGTAAAGTGAAAAAATGACATTAAAGACCACAAAAAAAAATAAAAACTTTAAAAATTCATATCAAAAATATTTTTATAAGAATATTGTAATTTAGTAATTATTGCTATTTATAAGCACTCATTTTTTTTTTGCAAGGTTTTATGTCGTCTTTTTGCTTTGTATTAAATTTACTTTAAAATTCAGTTTGTTACGAAGCGCTGTAACTTTCAATAATGAGAGAGTACAGCTTGACTCCTTGACTACTTTGTAGAATATATGTCATATTTACAAAGTAAAATTAGATAAGTAAAAGTAGATAATGAAAAAAATTGAAGAATGGTTAAAACAGAAGTCCCATGGATTGAACTTCTTGTTGTTGATCCTTTTTTCTTATATAATCTACTTACACTATAAATATTTCTTATGTACAATTATTTGTAAAAAATATAATGGAATTTTGAACTGCCGCACATTTAAGCAATCTGATAATATTAAGGTTAATGGTCATTTGAAGAATTGTTTCTTTTTGTAATGTTTAAGGTAAAAAAAATGTTTTTTTTTTAATTTTAAAGTAATTTCTCAGCAGTTAGATCAAGCGCTACTTGATCCTTTTACTTTAAATGTAGAACCTTCAACTTGGTACACAGAAGCAAATCGGAAATATCTAGATTAATATTTGTCCTAATGGAACACTGAACTATAGGAGGACATGGACCCAGGCTCGGCCTGCCCTGTAGTATCATCTAGCTCGGCGCTTGAAGAAAAGACACAATAGCACCTGTTGTGTCTATGTCAAGGCTTGTTTAGAACTAGCTTTTAACTATTGGGCGCCCCGTTCTTTAACAGGCTCGGTGATATTTTCACCATTAGTATTGGCCATATACTTGCTTTTATTTATGCAACTGGCTGGTTCTATTATGGCTATTTTTTTAACCATAATTGTGAGTAATATGGAATCAAGACGGCTTAGCTAATTGAGAAGGTTTCGATCTTCCTTCCACTTCACCTATCTAACTTATTTATTTTTATGGTGCACTTTAACCTAATGTTGCATCGAAAACGTTCATTGAATCTCTTGTAAGATAGAGAAACTATGTTGTAAAAGTTGTAAAAATTAAATCATTTACTTAGAATTTAATGTTAGTATATAATATAAATGTAATTATTTTAATTATTACAAATAAAAAACAAAAAAATTACAAATTATATATAAGATCACTTGCCATTATTTTATATAAAACTCAACTCATCTATATAAGTAATTAAGCTTGTATTATATTGTAATTGAAAAATGAATATTTTTTTATTTAATTAATAAAAGTAAAAAATATAAAAAATTATATTCAACGACAGTAAATTATATCACTAATTTCCATATTGACGTAAAAACTTGTATTTTAATAATTCAAGTATAAACTCGTATTTCAAAAATTAAAAGAAAGTGGCTATTGTTTTTTAAATACATTTTATAATTTATTAATTATTAAATAAAAATGTACGAAGAACTTTATTATAATTTCATGAAATAAAAACATGTAAAAAATAATTTTAACTGGTTAAGTTAACACAAAAAAATTGTGTTTTTTAAATATATTTTTATTTTGACTTCCATATAATCGTTTCAGATGTATATATATCATTTATTCCTTTTTATCTTTGAGTTCATCACCTAGAAGAATTTTTCTTACAGCTGGCAACCGAAATACAACGACAGAGAGTATTGCTCCAGTACATGCACCTATCCAGTAAACAATAATGTGTTCCAGATTCGTGTGTCCTCTGCAGCCCCATTTAAGTGCAGTCGCCAATACAGGATTGAAATAGCCACCGGAATAGTTAAACGCTGAAACCAACATGTAATTAAACGCGTAAACTGTTTTTGTAAGACCATTTATTCTAGTGGAAACCAGTAGTGAATGTACTTGGGTTATAGCATGCATTAAAAACGATGTAATATTTATATGTAAATGAGTTTTGAATGAAGATAAATGGTTTTTAAGATTTAGTTATTGTTGTTATTGTAACCCGCAAAAATCTGCCAGTGTATTCTGTTTTGGGAGTACTGAAGGGTACTTGTTCGTCGAACTCAACGAGTAGTACCGGGACGCGGACCCAGCTGTTTTTGAAACCATATTTTAGTCCATACCATTATTGTGCCTCTTATTAACTAAACTCTATTGAATATAATTTATCTAACAGTTCAACATACAAGAAAAATTTTTAATGATTAGAACTGTAAAGGTTTGTATAAATTGTTTATAAATAAATACACAGAGAATGTATGGTTCAATGAACTCAGTAATTTTGGTCGTTTAAGGAAACTATCTATTTAAAGAACGTGCTTAGGTAAACATTGAATATGTGGTCTGGTACCATTATACTATTAAGAAACATGCAATTTTTATATACATTTATTCATGATGGACGGAATAGTACAAGAATCTATAAATAACTTCGCCTATTACTTTTATCAGTTGTTTTTTTAGTTTTTTTCTTAAATTTGCTGGATATATATACCAATGAGCATCGTTTTGCACTATATCCCGGACTCAGAAAAAGTCAAATAATAAAGCTTATATTGCCACATATTTAACTATTCTGCACATGTTGTCTAATGCCATTTAAGTTGAAATAAACTACATACTTTAAGAAGTATATACATGATTCACTAACATTTGATAAATATCTCATACTGTTCTCTAAAAGCAAACATAGAGATTTTGGAGACCTTATACGTTAGAACATAGTATAGGAAATTCATGTGTCTCAATGAACTTATAATAACCTTCTATGTAAGAACCTAATGTGGAAAATGTGATTGCTTCAATGAACTTCATTATGGTAATTGTTTCTTGAAGTATAACAAAACTACTGAACTATTAAATTTTCGAAGCATCTCGTTTAAGTGGTCCAATATTTAATTAGATATTTCAAGAAAATAACTATTTATTTTCTTGAATGGATATTCATTATCTGGCCAATTTTATTATAGTTCAAGAACGGTGTCCACCCAAAACAGGATAAATTGTTTCAAAATAATTTGTTTTAGAAAAATTATCCATTCTAGAGGATATATCTCTTATATCTCAATATCTTTTCCGTTAGAAGAGGCAACTCTGCGGTCAAGGGCTATCCATTAGTTATCCATTTGACTGTATTTGAAATTTGACTTTTAACTTTGATAGTGATTCTATGGTGTACACAAAAGTGTAGAATTATAATTAACAGTGTTATACTCTTTCGATTGGGAGTTGGAAACGTGAAATGAACATGTATTGTTTTCAGATGAAATCGTTATCAGTGATGAAGCTCACTTAGATGAACACATAGGTGAAAGAAATAGAGGATAATATAAGAGAGGATTATTCAAAAAACCCATAGAAAGTTATAGTTTGAAGTCATTTAAGTCATAAGATATTATTATTCAGATTCGAAATCTCAAGCGATATTTTTTTAATAAGTATTGTAAGTAAGAGTAAGAGTATTGTAAGAAAGTATGATTTGTATAATATCACAGTCAAGGGATATACCGAAAATATATAATATGTATAATATATATTATATTATATATATTTATTTATACTAGTTAGACTTACTTGTTAGATTGTGTGACACATACAGTTATAATTTTTTTTACCCATAATTATAAATTTTCTTGGTGTAATGGATTTGTATAAATGTAGCATAGAATATGTTATATTAGATAAAATTTAAATTCGTACCTGCAACGACTAAACTGGTACCAATAAATGAATCAATTATACTACCGAATTTTGGTTCTCTTTCACTTATTGTTTTCGATGCTAGACGACAGAGTAGTGTAGCTATTCCTTCTATGACTGCGCCAACATATGGACTAACCTTACAAAAGTAAGAAAAAAATTATTAGACTTTATTTATGTATAAATTTAAATATATAGATAGAATATAGAAATAGTTTAATGATTTCTAATAAATATTTACTCTTAATAAAGATAATAGTAGTTACTGTGATTAAATTTATATACTTGTATATACAATATATAGGAGTGTTAGGGGGAGTTTGATCAGAGTGTAATCCAAGCATAGACTTATTAGCTCCTAACGATACCAGAACATTGTAAATCTACATGATTTCGTATAGGCATTTTTGCGAATGTAAGGAGTACTAACAGTTTTATTCGTGGAAAATAACCAAGCATACCTAAAGAGTGTTTTGAGACCAAACTTTTTTGGGATTTAAAAACAGGCACTGTCTACCGTGGTTGTAGTACATATGCGTCGTGTCAATTGGTTGGTTTTATAATGTATAAACTTATATAAAATTTCCTAATCGTATTTGGAATGATTATGTGAAACAATTCTACGAAGTTTTTAGGTAATTATTCAATTTTTAATTAAGAAGACAAAATTGCAACAATAGAACCTCTTCATCATCGATGTAGTATTATGTTAGAATACCCAATTCAATTCACAAGAATAAACTGAAGTCATAGTATAGACATAAACAGTTGACCGAACTAATTTGGCCATTTCTTACTTGTGCCTAAATTATAACTCTTTCCATCATGACAGCACTTATTAGTTTATTTGTTCCATTACACTTTCACTACAGGTACGAAGGTTTCTGGTTCATTTTTTTAATAATTTATCATAACGTTTATTCTCTATCCATAGGCCTTTCCTAATTTTTACCTTACATCCTTATTATAGGAACCCTTATTAAATCCAATACAACCTTATAGGATTTCTTATAATAGGAACTCTTGAAACTGTAAAAAAATTTTGGCGTCATATAAGAAGAAACTTGAAAGACATAGCTCTATTCGTCTTTCAAGACGAATATAGTACTAAATAAATGATTACTATACGTGTTACTACCACTTAATTTCAAATTCTTATCTAGTGGACAGTAGTAGTTTTATAAAATAAAATAGATGCATCATACTTCTGCTTTTCCATTTAGATCAATGAGTATTCAACATACCTGCAAATCTGCATTACATTCTTCAAATGCTCTGCCTGCATGAGTTTCTGCAAACTCAAACCACCAAAAAACCTGAACGATTCGATAAACACAACAGCCTCCCATAAGCTCAGCCCAAGTACGTAGTGCGACTTCTTTTATAGAAGTGCGCCCTTCGACCATATCTTCCATATGTGTGTAAGGGCAAGCGGAAGCATCACCCCAAACTTTACCCCACCAAACCGTAAGTAAAAATAAAAATATAGCATAGGCAGCTACACCGAAGTTGTCAGCGACTTAAATATTAAAATAGAAAATTAAAATAGAATAATTTAAAATTGGTTCTAATAGATTAAAACATTGTTACTTACCAATGATAAGTTCGAAACAGCATGCACAGAGCTCAGCAGCTGCTATAGCCTCATTTATAAGTATCGGTACGATACCATCTTCGTTAAGCATGCGTTTTGCTATCCGTCGTGCAATTTCTGCGGCAATACAGCAACCGACCATAAAGCCGGTGCTAATGGCAAGTGAACTCATTGACATTGCGAGGATTTTTTAATAAATATTATAAATAACTTAAATCTATGACTAGAGATGTCTTCTGATGTATATCAACTGTCAATAACAAAAAATAAAATTTCTATGTTAACACTTATCAACATCATTGGTTCTAATGTTATTACAGGAAGTTCTCTAATTATGTGTCATTTTTTGAACTTTAATAAGTTTTACTTGGCGTACTTTAATTCTTTTACATAAATTATTTGGTATATGATTCTAAAACGTTGGCTAACCAAAATGTTGTACTGGTTGACACGGTCGTAGACTTTTGGACCTTTAGCTATAGTATAAATATGTCTAGTTTTTAGGGCAGACACGTTGAGTACTGAGATATTTGGAGTGGGGGTTGCGTTCTTCCTTATCATATAAGGGAATTTGCTAAACTTCAGGTATATAAGAGCCGAATATTCCTAATCACAGAATATAACAGAAAATATTCTAATATCATACTCCGATTCCAGTGTATCTGGTGGTCTCAGAAAATGTGCCGAACTGTACTAAGTTATATTAGAGTCACAGAAGGTATACAGAAATAAACAGAGCTAGAAGGGGTTGAGGTGGAACTCGCAAGTATCTAGGCGCTCTATGGCAAGGATGTGATTTGAAAAATATAGTGGAACGTGATTGAAAAAGTTATAATATTTATTGAGTGACATAGTAGCCTAATTTCACACGGATAGAAATACTCTGTGTTCCACCCATGATGACAAAATCACATACTTATATACTCTCAATGAAATAATGAAATATTTCATACACTTAACATTACCTGAACGAAGAAGTCGTTGGATGCAATAATACCAATAAACTAACTTACCCTTGCTTTTTAAAGATTTTAAAAAATTAAAGTTTGATATTTTTTGTTATCGCTTCTATAACAATATTCAAATTCTATTCTAAGTCTAATTCTATATAACAATATTAAAGCTTTACCAACGGATGCCTGCGTAATATTTTGAGAATCTGGTGGCTACGTAGAATTTTAGATATGGAACTACTTCAGCATACAAACAGAGAAGTAATCAACAAATAAGTTGGAAAAGTTGGAAGTTGGAACAAGGAAATATAATTGGAGTGACCAACTCTCTGAAAGCCGTACAACGAAATACACCATACAATACTTCAATAGAACCACCAAGGCAATAAACAAGAAGAACACCTGGAGAAGAACGATAACGAATGAAACCGGCAAATCTTTAAATGAATCACGTTATATTGCTAGAGATAGAAATAGTTTGGAGATTCTATGTAAGAAGTCAATGCTCCTAGTGGACTACGGGTAATAATAAAAAAATAGCAATATTTATATTATAATTTCAGTGAACACTGATAGAGAAGAATATGTATATCGTTTAAACACATTTTTTTCTAATAGGAGTATCTATACATATATTTTTGTAAAGACATTTTTTTTATAAAAGCTGTTGATATTAGAAAATGATAGTCAACATTATGTTAGGTTCAGTTAGGTAAGGTTATAATGATTAACTATAGGCTGTTAGCTCATTGTATTACCGTACAAACCTCGAAAATTTTAAAACAAACTGGAATTTTTAATAAAGCTAAAAATAATTTTTAATGAGAGATCTTGTAGCTGACTAAAATTTTTTACAAAGTTAATCCCTAGTATATTTAATCTTTGTTGCGTATAAACGTTATGTTATTGCCACGTATATTTGAATTCCATTTCTTATACGTTAAATATTAAAAAGACCTGGTATATAGGAGAAGGAAAAATCGGATGTGAGTAAGAAATAAATATGAGGCTGGCGGCCTATTTACATATGACGCTGGCGGCCTATTTACATATGACGCTGGCGGCCTATTTACATATGACGCTGGCGGCCTATTTACATATGACGCTGACGTCCTATTAATAAAAGGCGATCTGTTAACATATGGTAGTAGCATCCTATTATTATATGACTCCAACGTCATATTAATAGATGGCGCTGGTAATTTGTGCGATATTAATAACGCATAATTAACGTTTTAATATGATTTTGAATTAGATTGTAAAATTTATTGTTTTACATATAATAATCTAAGTTCTCATGGTTAATCGAAGAAGACATATATCCACATAACAAAAAGAAGTACCTCAAACGAAAAATTGATCAGTGAGCTTTACATACAGAAAACACGATGTACTTGAATATTGCATGTTGGAAGTATAAGAATCTAGACATATCTGGTACAAATTTAATGAACATTATTAGAAATTATAGATTTAGGGATTATAGATATCTGAAAATATTTTCAAAATTTTATTACTTTTATGTTGCCCTTGTCACATTCTTTTGATTGTAGTTTATTAAAATGAAAAAACAAAAAAAAAAAAACAAAATTTCACAGTTTTTTGGGAAGCTAAAAATAGTTGCTGTCTGTCGTCTATATGTTATGTGTAAATTATTTGTAGAATAATTTGTCGCAATTCCTAAAAGAAATCACAGCAAAATTGTTCAAAATTAAATAAAATCACGTATTGAAAATTAATGCTTTACGCAACACTTTCTAGACCATCGAGCATGTAAAACTATAACAATTTCAAAATTTTTTTTTAAAATGATTTGTTTACCTTTTGAATAATATTTTTCATAAAAGTTCAAAATATTTATTCATTAAATTTTATAAATTTTTTTTTCACATTTTATTATTGTAAAATAGATGTACGCGGCCCAAATAGCCGCGCTGCTATTTGATTAAAACAAATTGTTTGGCAAACTTTAAGAGACTGCTCAGTCTTTAAAACACAGACCTATCCGTTGATTTTCAATATTTTGCAAAAATTTTCAACCCAATAAAAGAGATAATTTTGGCAAATTTATGTTTAATAGATCTGAAAATCTAACAGTTGCTCCCTCTCTCTATAAAAATGTTGTTATTATTATTATTTTGATATGCTACATTCTGAAAAAGTACTTTCGGTTTTTGTATATATTCGGATATATATTTATAAACATACAAACATAGCATTATATACACATAGTATTCATCCAGAAGCAGAAAAGATCTACAATGGTGGCAGTGCACCGCTCTGTTGGGAGTCAGTGCCGTGTTTATTTTTAGTATTAAACTTTAATAATTTTTTATAGTATTTTTTTATAGTATTTTATAGTACTTATTCTTAAGAGATGGTTTTATGGGGTTCAAGTCTCATAGTGTAGGTTACGTTGTCTTTCACGTACTGCAAAAAAAAAACACACTCGGACATGATAATTTAAGTTTTAGCACCAATCTGAGCATTAACCAAAGGAGATTATTTTTGTAGGAGGAATATTCAGACGAAGACCAAGGAATGTAAGAAGTATCCACTTTATCGGTATGAGTACTTACTAGCTAATAGCCTATCAGCACCAAAACAATTTTATTTACTTGGATCAGTTTGGACTAATGAAGAAAATTTCCTCATTACAAAGTGGACTAATTCACTTTTAGATATTTTTATGTTTCAGTGAAATACAATTTAAAAATAACAGCAAAATTCAAATGAATGCAGTTGGTTAATCTTAAATGTATACGATATATTTTTATGATATGCTCTTAGTTTTTTAATTGATCAGTTTATATACATATGTTAAAAAAATATTTAATTAATTTATTAATTATTTAAATAACTTTTTTCTTATTTTGTTTTCTAGTACCTCGAACATTTCTTGTATCTACTGCAGCTACAAACTGTTCTCCAAATTCACGAATTTTGGTATACCGCACTTCAATAATAGTATAGACACATTTTTCCCCGTAAACTATTATATGTATATTATGTATGTATGTTTCTATTAAATAGTAACGTACACACTTATATGCTATTTTTGTATTGTTTTGGTTTCCATGAGCTTTTGAGCTTACATTGTTGAGTGATCGCAATTTACTTTAATACGTAGGCTTAAGTGTTCAAAATTTTTTAAATAACGTATCATCACGTGCAAAGACAACAAATACTCATATATATTCTATACAATGGCGTCATTATTCACAAAATTAAAAAAAATAATGACCATTAATTATAACAGAATTGGAATTTTTTTTTCAAATTTACTCTTATATTAGAAAAATGAAAATAAACATTATCATCGTAAATATATTTACTATATATTATGTATTGATTTAGCTATATGTAATATAAATTTATGATTAAAGTACGAAATTTGTACTTAATAATTAAAAATAATAATATTATATAAAGCATATTTGTACTAATTTGATAATAGTTTTTTATAGGAACATTTATAACCTATATATCTTGTAATATGCTACAAAATGAAGGGATTAATAAAATTTAACCTTTAAAAGGGGCTTGTTGACACAAGATGCTTTTAACAAAGCAATTTACAACCGGAGCTGTTCACACTAGCTGCTTCCAATTCATGGATTTATAAACGCTTTGTAACCATAGCTGTGTTTAAAAAATTACTAGTGTCAATAGAAAAATATATAGTAATTTTGAATTATTTATTGTCGCGATTTATGAGCTCTTTTAAAAACTGTGACTATAGTGTGAATAGTCCCATAAGAGTCCTATAACGCTCCGCTGCAAAATCCCGAACAGCGTTCATTAAAAGTCCCTAGTGTGAACAGGCAATAAAAATTGGTACTGAAATTATTTGAATAAGTTTTACGAATACCAGCAGAATAAGTGTGTATAACAACTGTCATAAAATAAGGTAGATTGAGATATTAATTATAAATAATTAATATTTAAGCATGATTTTTTAGTATGTTAACTAAATCGTCTTTTTATTCATCGGTTTACAGTAGAAGTTATAATTTGATTTCTAATATTCATAAACCTTGCAATACTACTTTATTTGGAGCAGTCTTGACAACTTTTAAAAGTTTTAATTGATTGAAGACAGTACTTGTTTTATATATTGTTTTGTTAGTCACGTGGCACCAAATTATTTTTCTTATTTGGTTATAAGCATTAAGCAAACCAAAATTTATGGACATATCTTTCACAATAAACACTGACACAAGTTAGAGCTTACTGACAGTACAAAGAATCGGTTTTAAGTTCAGAAAGGCAGAAGAGTGTCTAATTACCAATTGTTTAAAAATATTAAGTACAATTTATAGGAAGAGCAGGTTTATTTAGCATCACTAACTTACTTAATACATACTAAATTTTTAAATAATAAATAGCAATACTGCAATAATTATAACTCTAAAAATCAATAATCAGTTGTTGCAGGTACAAGAATTGTAGCAAAAGTAAATGAGGAACGTTCGTTTGTTAGCCAAATGTTGTTGTTTAACTGGAGTTTATCATCCACATGTTAAATGTAATATTATTAAGTTGTAAAATTAATTACGACTCTATATAGCTTACAATTTTACAAATATGAACTATTAATTGATATTAAGATTGGTATTTAGGTTTAAACGATGCAACATTTTGGGTAACTTTGGGTTACACTTCATCCAAATTCCGTATATAATAAATTCAAGAGTATGGATACGCGTATCACTACTAAGTGGATCAATTTTATTTAAATATGTAAGAGTGGATTTAAAAAGTAACTAGAGTGTTGAAATTGCATTGTATATAAGCAAGATACAATTCAATTTAAATCCAGGAGTCGAGCCTTTTTTAAGTCTATCAGCTCCAGTCCAGTACAGTAACAGGCTTCTACAATATTTAATTTAGGCTTGTATATACACGAATATGCAATACTTACAATATTGTGTTTGAATGAAAAACGCTTCTGATTATTAATTAAATTAATTCTTTTAAAAAGAATTAAAAAATCTCGTTAGTTTTTAAATACGCCTTACTTATATATTTTAACGGGGGTACCTAATACAGGCATTAGAAATATGTAAATTATAAAATACGTTTACCAACACTTTATGTACAAACGTCAGCTGTAGTAATTATTTTATAACAGCTGTTATTGTTTATTGTGATATAAAACCGCATAAGGAGTTGAACGTTTACAGGTATATATGTATATATATATAATATTAAATAAATTATTAAATAACTAATATATTTAAAGAATGAATGTCTTACAAAGGGGATTTCTGCAGAGTTGCAGATTTAGCACAGTGAAAAATTTATATAAAATACCTGCAGCTTACACGTGCTACGGAACGGAATTACAGCATAAAAAATTAATGAATACTCATAGAATGAATACTACATTCAAAAGTCGATGGGAAACTATATATCAATTACCCATTATTAGGGCAGCTTCGGTAGTAAGTCAGATTAAAACTTATCAGGGTATTGCTACAGCAATTTCAGTGCCAATTAGCTACGCGTTTGAGCAAGCTGTGCTCTTCCCAACTAATACCTGCTTAGTAGTCACAATCATAGGAGCATCTGGTCTCATCACATTGACGCTATTTAGCTTGGTAATACGCAATTTAATTGGTTTTATTTATATCAACAGCGAGGAACAGAAGATAAAATTTGCTTATCTTGATTTTTGGGGGAAACGGAAGGAAAGAATTGCGGATGTTTCAGCCATAGAAGTTAATAACGAAGAGAAAAGGTCATTTATTAATAATTTTTATCAAATTATAAAGTTTCGAAATAAGAAAAATATATGTTTAAAGCTTTCAAATAAATTTGGTGTGATCTTGGATCCAGACAGGTACGCGGAACATTTCGGTGAATAGATATATCACAAAATATGAAAAGTTTATTTAAAGTAAACTACGGTTTTGCTAATTTTAATTGTTTTATTGGAATAAAAATTATAATAAATTAATTCATTGAAAATACGTTACATAACCAGATCTAAGTGGATTCCATGGATCACCATAAAAGTTGCGAGCATGCAGATCACATTAGACGAGTAATTTTTAATTTTAAAGTTGTAATTTTTTTATTTAGTGTTAAAGCTAACATATTTTATGTTAAATAAGTATAAAAATTGTATATTATATAAAAATATCATTTTTTTGTAATTGTAAATATATAAATTGAAAAGCTATATTGTATATAGGTTTTCTTTAAATACTTAAACAAAAAGTAGCTTTGTACTCCATTATCCAAAATCTATATATTAATCTATTATTAATTTTATCCAGTATCACTTTGAATACCAACAGGCTCATCGTTCGAGTTACTTGTACTATTATTTCTAATTCCCTCTGGTTCATCTTCTGTGGTCTTTTTTTTATTTTTACCTAATAGTTTTGCATCTAATACCTATAAAAAAAAAGTTAAATCATTAAAGTAAATATTTAATATAATATTTGTTAATATTTTACTTTATAATATTTATAGAATATTTATTACTTTTTAATATATTTTATACGAATATTTTTTTTTAGTGTAATAGGGTTATTTTATTTAAAATATACATAGGATGTTATTCAATTTGTTGTTAATATAGTCCGTGGAACTTTTTATTGTTATGAATACGCTTTCAATGACACAATGGTCTTTAATACAATACTATTTGTTTAACATCAAAGTTTTCTGGTTAATCTTAAAATTTAATTAATATCCTAAAAATTTTTAGAATGTTATGTCGTTTTACATGCTGTATGCTAATGTCGTTTTACATGCTAATTTTAATTATAGGGTTTCTTTAATCTTGATAGCCTCTTCGCAACTGCTAACTTTATTGCAACATTGCAAATTTTGATACATATTCTTCTATTCCTGTCTCCCATGCCAACATTAACAAATCAACGCTATTGTAAGTTTAGTAATATCTAAGGGCTCAAAACACTATACATCATTTAGCATGTACAGTCTATCTATCATAATTCTGTGAGATTTTCAAAGTATTCAAGAGACTTTGAAAGGTTGTTATTTATAATCTCATTTAGTTTTTTGGAATAGTTAAACTAAATTGTGCACTGACTACATGAGTGAATGAAATGAAGATGTTTAAATCGTAAAAATAATGTTTTTAAATTTAATTTCGTAGAAACAAATATATTTGCAAGTAAGTTTATTTCATAAAGAAGGCATTTTTCGATGATTATAAGAACTTAAGCAACTAGTTAAATAATAATTATCGCGAAATCAAAGCGAAACCAGATATATGTTCTTTAAAACATTTTCTAAGAAGCAAATGAAGCTCATTATATATATATAAATATATACAGACATAAAAATCTATATAAAACAATGACTACAATGGCAGATTTTTGAAGAAACAGAATTTTTTATGGTGTAATAACCACCATATGGTTTTAAATGGATGTTAGTACTAGTATTTTCAGATATAAAATTTTATTTCTAGTGTAAAACATAGTTTTTTAATGTTCCAAAGTAAATAGATTTAAAAATAAATAAAGTCTAATATAGGAATGTATATACATATATACATATGTCTACATTGTTAATTTTGAGAATATAAATTTAGATATTTAATTTGAAGGGACTTCTAAATTATGTCATAAAAATGAGATATCATAAATTGTTATTATAATCTTTTTAACCCAAATCTTGCAGAAAAGATTTTACAGTGTATGTGATAAGATAAAATTTTAATCTATACGTTAAAAGAAAGGTCAATCTATAAATTTTGTGAATAAAAACAGTAGAGATTTTTTTGAGATAAAAGTAATATTATTTTAAATATTAACTAATCTAATACTAATATAATAATAATATATACTTACTGTATCAGGTAATTTTTTACGAAATGTTTCTGGTAATAACAAGGCCAATATGCCAGCGGAAAATGAAGCTGCGCCAAAAAGAAGTAATGGCAGAGGTTCAAAATAAACTCCCTAAATATATTTAAAAGTACGGTTAATATATTTATTATATACTAATATTAATATTTTTACCAAGAGCGGCACAAAAGGTGCAAGCATAGCACCAAATCGAGCAAAAGTAGACATAACACCAACACCACCACTACGTATTACCTTAAAATATCGAGAAATTGTAATGGATCGTTTATATATAGTTCTATTTATACAAACTACTTACAGTTGGCATCATTTCTGCTGTATAAGTATATATTACAGCAAATGATGATGTAATGCCCAATTTACCAATTAAAAATAGCGTAATAATAGCCCATGTAGTACCTAGTTTCAGAAATCTATTAAAATATATTCAATACATATAATATTTATTTAGAAAAATAAAATTTACGTGATTCCAAATTTAGTTGTACTATTTTATAAGAAAGTATAGAGATTTTTAGAAGAAAGCATTTAAGAAAAAATTATTAACAAAAATTGTTAATAAAATATTACCTTTGGTTATATAGCCACCTGCCACACACGTTACAGCACAAAGAAACAACGAACCGGTAAGAGATAAACGACGTCCAAACCGACGTAATGAAATCTAAATTGATAATATTAAAATAATGTGATAGGCATATCAAATCTAATCTATATATTTATACAGATTATTTACCCAGGCTAAGGAGTAACCAGGTATCTCAACTAAGCAAACCAGTGCAAAATTAATATACTTGTTTCCGCTTAAGTTAGTGGAATTTAATGACAGTCCGTAGAAGACGACAGCGTTGATAGCCCTGTAATAGTATCACATTTTCAATCCATTAAATAAAAATGATTTTATTTAATATTTATAATATATGTTTTAATTATTATAATTATAATATTGTAATTATATATAATATATTACAATATTTAATTATATATTTTAAAATACAGATATGGAGAAAATTATGTTTTCTGTAACTACACTTTTATATGCTGAACATAAGATAAGCTTAATTCGTTACGAGCTAAAAGGTTTTCTAGATCAGTAAATTTTCTATGATGTGATATAATATTTACTTAATAAAGCTTACCATATATATAACATAATTGTATAACGTATCAGTAAAGTTTTTGACTTAAACACTTGCTTTACTGCTGACCAGATTTCATTCTTATCCGCTTTTGATTTGGATTTGGTTCCATTACAATTCTCAACCTTAAAGTTGGCCAATAGTCCCGCTGATAATTCCTTTTTATTTATCGCTGCTGCTCTTTGTATAATTAACCCTGCCTTTTCTTTCTCGTTGCGTGCAAGTAACCAACGTACCGATTCCGGTACTATCCAGTAATATACTATAAAGAATAAAGGCGGTACGGACAGTGCAAATTGTAACAATTGCCAATCGTGAAGTAGCCATGCAGTCAATCCAACCATAGCTTCACCAATAGCGTAGAAATAGTTTAAAACTATTGACGACATTTCACGCATACGAGGACCAACCATTTCCACGCCAATTATAAATGCAAGTGGATATACACCGGATGTTCCGACTGCATTAAGGAAAGCAAATAATAAGAAACTGTTATAGTCCCAAGCAAGTCCCTGGGCTATGCCGGTTATAGCCATAAAAATAATACAAATAATGAAAACTATTTTGCGTCCAAAACTATTAAAAAAAATTGTTATGAAAAATTAGCAAAAAGGAAGTATTTTGTTTTAATAAAGTAAGTATACCGATCAGCAAAGTAACCAGACAATGCTGTACCCAACACAAGACCAGCAAAGTGCATTGTGCCTACAAAAGCTAATTTCCAGATATTCTCTTTACACGTAAGTTGCCACTAAAAATATATATAATATATACATTATGTATTAAATCTTATCGCTTAAGATGATGTCCAGAACTATCTAATATACATATTATTTAAATGTGCACAAAAAGTTCAGAATTGAACCAAAATGGAAGTGATATAGCCGGAATGTCGCCAAGGTCCATCATGGAAAAATAAAATTTATAACGGACTGCGAAATATACTGATGTAAATAAAGACACATAGCTATACTATCAATAGTCAAGTAATTCAAGTACTAAGCTCGTGATTAGTAATGAACTATCTACAGAAACTGAAACAGTAAAGCATGAATAAGGAAGTCATCTTCTACTAGGTTTCAGGCTTATGGGGTTTCATGTGATGAAGTAATGAAGTCACAAAAAAGAAGACAATTATTGGGTTTGACACTATATTGTATCTTGTATAGGCAAGAGAGTAAGGGAGAGAGTGCTAAAATACTATTATGGCAATAATTGGACTTGAAACCATATTACAGCTTGGGCAAGAGAGTATGGTAGAGAGTGCTAAAGTACTACTATGGCAATAATTTGGCAATTATTTGACTTAAAACCATATTACAGCTTAGGTAAGAGAGTATGGGAGAGGGTGGTAAAGCACTAATAAAGATAAAAGAAATAAGTTAAGTTTATAGGTTTAAGACTATTTAAATTATTATTACTTAATTATAATGGCAAAACATTTAATTTCTGTATCTGTGTTTATCAAAGAACAGATAGATAATGTTGGCCGCTTAAGCTCAATGTACGTTTCGCATAAAATCCCATGGGCTGGGTCTACAATAAACAAACTGTGTCATCGGTGTAAGTACTAGGGAAATGTGATGCACTGATGCAAATGAATGTCAGGTAGAGAATAAGCAAAGAACAGTTTGTCAAAATTTGTCGGGATTTTATAAACTCTTATAGACTAGCTTTGAACTAGTAATGGGTAGTGTAATAGATCCTCTGGTTTATTTAGCTTATATTCATATTACATGAATCAATTAGATTTAATCGAAAGTCTTCCTTTTTTTGAAATATAACAAATTAGCTGATTATTAGTTAAAAATTTATTGGAGTGGAAGGAAATCACTATTTTTTGGGCCCTTTGAACATCGGCGACATTAGAATTGCGATGCCCCTTTACACATTTATAAAATTAAATAATTTATTAGTTTATTGCTAATCAAATTAAAATAAATTAATTTTTCTACTTTTAGCTTCACTCCATTTTTTTTAAAATTATATCATAATTTGCACCAGCTGCTATTTTCAATTCAGTTCACAGAATTGCCAATGGAGATAGTTTATCTTGGCTCATCATACTTCTCAAGTAGGTCCTAATCAATTTTAACTTTGAGAAGTTTCTTTGAGTAGAAGCTATACTGACGGGAACTGTGAGGATGATTCTGTTTACTATATAAACATACGAATATACTTCCTCTAAATTATTTTGTTTAATTAAGTCTAGTTTATTCGATTTTAAAAGCAGCAGTTACTCATACGGTTCAAAAGACTGAATTATACCTAAAGCATTATAAAACTTGAGAAGTTCTTCATTTAGTATACTTTTTATATGTTCAAAATATCTATTAAGTGCTTTGAATCAACAAGCGATAACTTTTTGCGAGGCCCGTGTGGGCCTCTGTGCACAACAGATTTATTGAGATCGTAGTATTTCATTTACTGGCCTTTAATAGTATATTTTCTCTACATTTCTCATATAGATATTGTCTATTTGGTAAAGGTATATCATGAATATAATATAATACATAAAATATTTAAAATTGAACCACTCCCTGCTATATGATTTGGCAAGACTTGAACTTAATGTAGTTTTAAAGAAAACAGTACTTGTATTGAAAAATATACACATACTTTGTATACTTACTTCTTGAACTATGGTGCGCTCTTCAGTATCAAAAACCCATTCATGACAACGTTCCTTGACGTTTGTCATGAAATAACTTTTTGGGCATTGACCAAGGTTGTTGTCATCATCACTAGATGTTATACTTTCATTTAAACGAAAACGATAGCAAGTTTCAGGTGTGAATACACCTTTTTTATCTGTTACTCCGGGAGTAGCATTTACTAACCACGGCGCTAATAGATCTGGTTGCGCCGGATTATCACATTTTGGAATTAAACATCTACGATAAAAAAACATTTTATGAATTAAAAGAGAAAATAAAAAAAATTTATTTTCATGTTTGTTTACTGAATTATATTTATTTTTTCACGATTTTATTTGATAAGTAAACACAACCTGTAAGTTGGTGGGCCGGCAGTAAAGACATACGACAGACTATTCGCTGCGGCGAACATTACCGGTAAACAAATTAGTAAGTAATTTGTTTTCTGATAACGTCCGAATTCGCCAATCTCTTCGAGTATTTGGTCGAAATCCATTTTTGAAAATTAAAATTAACAAATTATTTAATTATTTTAACAATTCTCAGTCCTTCATTTGTTATTTTGAGATACTTTCTCCTCACTTTTAAACAATCGTTTGACATTTATTATTGTTTTGTTCTGATTGAATACGTCCGATTTGTTACTTTTACTATTCTTTGCTATTCGCACTTCACTTAGGCAAACAATTCAACCGGAACGCGTCCGTACTACTCGAGCAGATAAATCCAACTGAAAAGCTCAGTATAGAAATCCAATTGAATAGAACAATTTTCAAATTTATTCACCAAAATTACTTGTTTTATAAATAGACTTGCATTCAATCACAAATTGTTATTGTTGTTGATGAAGAGACTGAGTACTCAGCACGTCGTCTATACGCAGACGTGTGGAGAGTAAAAGATAATATGTTGAAGAGATACAGATATAAAAATAAAGACAATAGAAAAATTATTAATGGAGCTTAACGCAGATCACGGATGTTTGAAGGCATGCATTTGAGCTTTACATACAATAAAAAAGTGTGCAATCAATAAGTAGCACGTGCATTTTAAGTAAACAAATTGAACGACAAAGAGACGAGTGAGTCCACTCGTACCTTCTAAAAGTTAGTGGGTTTTTTTTCTATATTTTCCAGAAAAATAATTACTAAACTAATAATATACATATGTAATGTTAAGTAAAAAAAATAGGGTATTTAAATTAAAATTATTTTTAATTACATTATAATTACATATGTTCATATACTTATGTATGTAAAGTAATTATAAAATATTAATTTACCGGAACAACGTACGAAAATCAATTGAAAAAAACAATTTAATAAAAAATTTACAAAAAACTAGAGCAAAAAAAAAAAATACCAGAACGCATATACATATCTTAAAAGTTTCAAATATTAAAATCATTATGGCTTTTGATGCTTTCCACCTATCGCCCGCGCGACTCTTGGAGTAACATTAGCATGACTCTCTCAGTGTTACGTTCCTAGATTAGGTTCTATACATAAGAAAGAATATATTTATCATGCAACAAATAATGACTCTACAAACAGAATAGTATTGATTTAGGATTTCGTTCTAATATAAACACAGCAAGTGAATTTGTTAATAAAAACTTTCACAGAAAATAAACAAAAGTCCAGAAAAATGTGCGAACATAAAAGTTAAGTACGGTTTTGGGTCAGTTGGAGCGCTGACTCTGGCCTTCAAATTCGGCAGGGCACGAGTGCGATTTCTGGTACTTATAGTCTTAAAAAGTTATGTACGAATAATTAAATACAAGAATTATTTCCAAGACCATTGGTGATGGCTATTTGGCATTACTCGAAACAGCTTTGCGGTCAGCCAAAAATTCAATTAATTAAAATAATATAAAATGAATTTTTGTTGTTGTAGCTCACTACTGTTGGTAAAATCTAATTAATAAAAAATTAAAATTATTCTATTATTATTAATATTTTCTATTATTATTGTTGCGTGTGAAAAGAATCAGTGAAAATTGTCTTAAGCGGGCACCAACTGGACCAGAGTTACTCTGTTCAGTTAAGAAAATTGTCCGTTTAGAAAAATGATTCTCAACCTTTTTTGACCCAGGAACACTATGATATTTCTGTTTTTTTGTAGAAACCACAAAGTTGAAGAATAACAAACTGTATGATTATTTCAATATGCTTTATGTATCTCTGGTATAATGTATAATGAATTGTATAAGTGTATAGACACATTATATACGTTATAAAATATGTATATTTTTACTTGAACATTTTTTGTATTTATTTTCTAATAAGTGAGGTCTCAGTGGACAAACTACATGCATATAGTTTGTATGCACACTTGTTAAACTTGATACAGGATCATTTTACAACATTCCGCGGACCACTGGTTGCTTATAGTAAGCTGTTTTACCAAAAATCTGCATTAGAACTAATAAAATATCATAAATGCAGCTTAAGTTTGGGTGAAGCGTAAAGTTCCAATTATTTAAGTCCGGTCATTCTTCTTACTTTATTGAGCTGACTTAGGCATCTTGCCTTTTCCCTAGACACTAGACTAATAGAGAGCCTAACTAATGATGGGGTCTATGAGTGAGGTATTCTTGTCGCCAATGTGCATATTCTTGATCAGAACGATAAGATAAATCGAAGTAATCTGTTGTAATCTGCGAATAATCAAGGTAAACAATTAGCTTATATTGAATTATTAATGATTTCTATTAAACGCAGTATGAGCGGTCTTGGCACTATGTATTCTTATATTAATTTTATAGGAAATTCAAGAAGTAATTCTTATATTTTGGATTTTTTTCTTATGTAAAAATGCTATTTTTTCATCAGACTAACTTATTTTTGTAAATAAATATAATCACATTAAAATATACTAAATTTGGTGGCCTTTTATTGATGTACCCGGATCATCAGCCCTATTTGTTATTCACTTCTGGTACCTATCATGTACCACTCATACAAGGTTATTTAAAATAAAATATAATTTATAATTTTATTTGGCTTGAATTTAACAATAAAATGGTATATGTAAATATACTAAAAAAATTTAGCAAATTAATAAAAAAAATATAGCTAAAATATTGGGTGAAGGGTATCTTAACTTCGACAAAGTTAAGCTAACATTTTTATTTGTGAATAATAAATAAAAATAAATAGATTTAAATCGAGAATAGCAAGTACTAAATCTAAATTTTTATGCTTAGATAATAAAAATGATTTGGCTATACAAAACGTTTTGGTACGATTAGATTAGAAAAATAATAGTAATAATGGCATAATGTTAATGATTAAAATACTATTTATCTTTGATCTACAGTTAAAAATAAGCTTACATATTTCGATATTTTTATTTAAATTTTTAATAATAATACTGCAATGCACACAGCGGAGATTCCTCTTGTCAGCAACATTACTTGAAATTAATGATATCTAGTAGACGTCATTCAATATCAATAAGTTAAGAAGTTGGAATTTTCTTATATTTTTTTTTTCGTCATTGAATTGATATAGGGTGGGTGGAATATATCACTAAAATTCACAATAATTGCATTTGCATGTAGACGTTTTTGGTACAAGTGTTTTTGTTTCGGGATCTGTTTTTTATACGTGGAACGCGAATATCACTATATTTGTTTATACTATAGATACATTTGGTGTTTGTTTTGTAGAGTGATTTATGTTTTAAAAAAAAGGTTACTATGCAAATTTTTCTGTTTTATTGTTAACTTAAATTAAAGCTTTATGCACCTATGGAGCATAGCCAAAGCGAACATGAAGCTACTACTTCTCCTACTACTACCATTACTTCTCCCAGCTTCTCTCCATCTTCCAAAATTCAGTCGATTTAATACTTAATAATGAATAGAGCGCTAATGTTCATGTGGTACGGCCCCATCAATGTGACTGATCGATGTCGAAGGTATTGGGTATGAGTATATCCAAGTAGTTTTGCATAATAATTTGATTTTTATTGCGTTTTATGTTAAATATTATATATTATGGAGTGATTTAAAGAATATGATGTCCATAAGCTTTAACTTGAATTAAGATAAACTTAGATTAAAATAAGCCTGGACAGTAACACAACGGACGTTCTTGTGCCACTTCCTTGAGCATAGGTAAATACTATCTGCAGGAGGTTAGATTTGGCACACCAATCTTAGTTCCATGTCGTTCTATAGTTCAGTGTCCTGTAAAAACTTATATTATCTTAGATATGTTATTAAAGATAATATTTTATATTAACTTACATATTAGTTCATCTTAAAAGTCTTCTGGCTTGTTTCTAAGTATTAAGTAGTAGGTTGTAGAAATGTAGTATGTAGGCCATATCATTCTTGAAGAACAAATTGTCTGGAAAAGTGGTAAATGCAGCTTTGTAATTAGATCGGTTGTTATACAAGTCACAAAAGAATATTGGATGAGGTTACTGTTTCGGAAACTTATCAATTTCGATCCATTTCTGTCACTGGAAAAGAAATACCATAAGTGCAACTTTATAAAGAAACTTAAAACACGTTTGATTAGTATAAATTATTATTATTTGTAGTTATCATTAGATTGCAGATTATATACAGGTTCCATGCAGGTTGATATAATCACATCGTATATACGCCCGATAGGTCCCTCGACACTGGCGTTATACACTGTCGATATGTGTATACTATACTCGGATAAATGTTCTCTGAACAACATAACCAACACACTTCAAGAGCACATAAACCTCATTCTAGAATATTTCCAGAAATGGAAAATAAAAATCAATAATGAAAAAACTTTGGCGCTGTTCATTACACGTAAGTAAAGTCATGAATATAAACTGGAAGGATAGCATTAAATATCTAGGTATCATGGTGGACAAACGATTCACATGGTTTAAACATGTTTAACTGAAAAGAATCAGCTATGCCAAAATTCTTCATCACCTCCAACCGCTATTCAAAAATGAAAATCTCAATGCTAAGAAGAGTAAGCTGATATATAACCAAATAATTCGCCCGTCACTTCTATATGGATGTGTAGTGTTTAGCAAAGCTACAAACACTACTATTCGTCAGATAAAAATTGCACAAAGCCAGGCACTTAGAAGACTTTTCAAGGTACCATGGTATCATCGTACCTTTCAGTTATTGCTTAGTCTGATGAAGTGATAAACAATAATCCAGTCAAGGCGTAGAGAAGGGTTATGAAGAAACCTCACAGTTAATAGAGAGTAAAAGTGCTTAAGTGCTCTAACTCAACTAGTCTCAACATATATAAAATATAGAAAAACTAGTGAAATCCGGTTGTTTAATAAAAGATTCAATTCTAAATGTTTCTAACCTAATTAGACGAAAATGTTTAATGATCTCTTTGACCATGAGGAGTATATCGTAATATTAATAATAGAAATGGTCAGTTTTATTAAAGTTTTTTTTTTAATATCAACAATTGAAATTTTTTTCAATTCAAGCATTCAGGATATCTTAAACACTACTTCATTAGGATGAAACGTGCGTTTTAAAATATTGATTTTAATATTATACGTACTAACATTTGTATTTATTCCCACAATTAGGGACTGAAAATAGCGCGAATCAACAATGTTGCAAAAAAATTGCAAAAATAAATGCAAAAGTTTATTTTTATTAATAATGCGCATTTACATTATTTCTTAAGTGACTAATTTAAACAATCGTATTTAAGTGCTTTTTTAAAAACCAGATGGATG